ATGCAGTGGAGGGAGGCAAAGGCAGTTATAGTGTTAGGAATACAGTTTTGTACTAAAGTATCCCTTTAAGTGTTTTTGCTGCCGATATAGAAGTAGGGTTTTTGAGTAACGTAAATAAATTTAACTCACCTAGAATCCCACACCGTGCTGGTCTCGCTGTGGCCCACACCCCACCCTGGCTGAGATCATCATTACTGATAATTTCAGCTACTCAAGTGGTTCACCAAAGAGAATCACTGGAGGGCCCTGCTGCACATTTGAAACAAAAGCTGTATTTTAATGCATCTCTATGGGGAGCATTTGGCGTTCCAATGCTAAGCGTGGAGAAGAGAACATTGGTCTTGCAAAGATATTAGACTGCATTACTAGTGGCTGTTGAGTGGCAGCCATTCGAGGTGTGCTTACAGATACATGTGTGTACACTGCCTTTTTTAAAGGAAAGGCAGTATTTTTAAGGGAGAGGCTGCAGGTACAGGATCTTTTCTCCAAAACCAGTGCATTAGCTGTAGTTTTTCTGGTGCTTGGAGTGTCCCTTTAGGGCTATTACAAATCCTGGCTATTACATTTGAAGAACGTTCAGCAGATACCTCCCAGAACACCTTGTTAATCCCACCACTCCCTCCACTGACTTTAACTTTACGCTTCCCTGCCAGTCTGCACTAGCTAACCTTTTATCTAGAAGTATAGCCTTCCCTTTAAATCTAAGTTTCCCTTCTGTGATGTGTACAACAGCATCCGTCTCACTTAATCTCTCTCATTCATAAAAGGAGTCTCTTGTTTCTGTTTAACACAACTTTTTTCGATGTGCAGTAGAGATTCAGGTTCAGCTCCTAGTAATTCATGGGATATAAATTTCACTTGCATGAGGAAATAAATTGCATAACTAATATACTAATATACAGTTATGTGGAGTTCAATACACCAGACTTAAAGCAACATGCTGGACACCATAACAACGTAATCAGAATGAAGTTGCCAGTATGCCAGGAGGTTCTAGCAGAATCTTACCTTTGTGGGTTATTATTATTTATAAAGTGCCAACAAATTCTTTAGTGCTTATGCCCTCTAGGGGGTTCAACTGCTCAAAGTCTTCTCTCCAGCGCTGCTTCTCTCCGATTCTTCAAACAGGAAGTCTTGGACTGTCTCAGACAGGGGCTCCGCTGATTGGCTGAGAGAGGTATCTGACACTCTAAGCCAATCAGTAGCTCCCCATTCACAGAACGGCATGAGAGCCGTACACATTTGCTTAGAGCATCAGTTGGTCAGCTTAGAGGATCTTAGGCATCAGCTGATACTCTCAGCCAATCAGTGGCACGGGGCAGAGCTAAATGGTGCTGGAGAGAAAACTTTAGGGTTTTCTTTGTGAACAGTTTAACCCCTAATCATAACTTGTTGCCAGGGACCTCCTTGAACAATGCCAACTTCATTCCAATTAAGTTGTAATGGTGCCTAGAGGTTCCCTTTAAATAAACACTCTAAGCTCCATAACCTTTTAGGTGGGCTGTAGTTGTTATGGTGTCACAAGTGCCTTTACACTCTCCTTCCCAATGCAAGTAGTCAAGCCACTTTAGAGCTCTTAACTTCTGGCTCTCAAGGGAGGAAGTGACCGTCTCCCGGGGTTCATCAGGTAAGTTGTCAAACTGTTAATAGAGCCCCTCATTTCTTTTTTTTTTCTTTCTTTCTTTTATTTAATTTATATTTTGCCAGCTAAGAATTCAACCAAGGATAAATTCCTGACAAATCAATGGCTCTTCCATGTGCACCAATAATGGTTTTGTAAATTTCCAAAGATTGTAAATTTGGAATTTGAGTAAAACCTAAATGAAGCAAACAGTAAATGAACAGATTAATGGTATTTTTTTTTATTTGAAATACATGTGAAAACCTTAAATTTCTACTTTGACAACTACTAATAATCTCTAGTATTGTTCTTCAGTTGTCCACAGGTGGTATACAACAAAACAGGATTTTGTATATTCCACATTATACTTAAAATGTCGAAATTTCATGGTTTCACATATCAAGAAGCTGAATGTAACATGTCCTACAAATTAAAAATTTGAACAATAAATCAACCTGCTATTATGTTCACAGAAGACATGGCGTGTGTTGTTACCCCACCCTCAACATTTTACTGTATAGCTTTACTGTATAGCCGCATCCTCACTCCCATCATAAATGATACATTCTTTTTCTGATCTTGTGTTCCCTCCCAGAGACATCTTTAAAACAAAATCAATTCAAAAATTATGTAGAATTATTTCAGAGCAATACTTTGAAAAATGACAGGCCCACCCAATGCATTAAACCACAAAGAACACCCACACCCTTTTATTTTCTAGATCCTGGTGAACAATATTCACTTGTAAATCAAGGTACAGTACAGTTTTGTTGTGTGTCAAATATCTCCCGTCCATCATGTCTGCTGGACAAAACCACTTGTTCATGGCTTCAGGCAGTAGATGAAAATATATTTGCATCAAATTGTTGGATTTATACAATTTAAATGGTGCAACAACAATGCAGCATACCAAAAGAGACTAACTTGTTATATTTTATATGAATTGTGCATGTCTTTATAGCCTTTTCTATGTAGTGTATAAAAAAATGAGGGAGGGGTGTAGAGGGGAGGGTATATCCTGCATGTTCCTTTAACAGTTTACTTTAAGAACCTTGACAGTTTATCACACGTTTCCTTATTATAACTCTATAATGAACTTTTATTTCCCACGCATTCATGATTACTTTTTTTTTTAAACATAAAGTTATTCTTATGTCATGCTGTACGGGTTTTTTGTGTAACCATAGAAACTATTTGGGTAACGAGGATTGAAACATTTCTTTTAAACCTTTCACTGCTGAACACTTGGTCATAAGCCCTCCCAAAACAAAAAGATTATAGCATATAATAGTATGTATTATATTCCTGCATTATTTTGAAATAAAGTTAACTAAAATTCCTAGTTTAGTAAATAACTTTGCAAGTACGGTGCTTGGTGAATGATATTGTATGTAGCAATTACTTTAGTTTTATCATTTTACATAGCGCAATTACACATAACTAAAAACAATAGGTAAACAAAGTTAGATAATTAACTTTCAGGAATTGAGTGTTGCTGGGCAGGGTACGTAACTTTTTATGAACAGGGAGCTACTGATTGGCTTAGAGCATCAGCTGACCCCTCAAGCCAGTCAGCGGCGCCCCCTGCGGAACTTGGCATTTGCTAAAAGTCAATTTGAAAAGCTGGATGCCCATGGGGGAATTGGAGATCCAGGGTTGGGGGCAACCTTTTGGGTAAAACCGTTCAAGAACGGTTTAAACCCTGCAGGTGAGAAAGAGCCTGATGACCTCTTGGCACCATAACAAATTATTCCAATTACGTTGTTATGGTACCCGAAGTGTTCCTCTAATGCACTTGAATTGAAATTAACACCCACCATGCACATCACACAGAACCTGACCTCTGTTCTTGTATTTGTTTCTGAGTTGCAGTTTGAGGAATGTACAATGATACCTTGGTGAATAGTATACTATATGTATACTTATTACTATACATCAAGGTTAACATATAATATGGTTTAAAGTTTGGCGTGATATTAGAAACATAGAAACATAGAATGTGACGGCAGATAAGAACCATTCGGCCCATCTAGTCTGCCCAATTTTCTAAATACTTTCATTAGTCCCTAGCCTTATCTTATAGTTAGGATAGCCTTATGCCTATCCCACGCATGCTTAAACTCCTTTACTGTGTTAACCTCTACCACTTCAGCTGGAAGGCTATTCCATGCATCCACTACCCTCTCAGTAAAGTAATACTTCCTGATATTATTTTTAAACCTTTGTCCCTCTAATTTAAGACTATGTCCTCTTGTTGTGGTAGTTTTTCTTCTTTTAAATATAGTCTCATCCTTTACTGTGTTTATTCCCTATATATATTTAATTGTTTCTATCATATCCTCCCTGTCTCGTCTTTCCTCCAAGCTATACATGTTATATATTCTTGAGTGCAATAATCCAATATTTTGGAGTGATTTAGAGTGCGGTCATTAACTTAAGCTGATAACTTCTCTATTTGAAATATATATATTTATATATAACATTTTTTCCATATACATTTTTCAGTGTTTTCAACTTTGAAGCATTTCACTCCAAATGTGTGCTGCTATACAAATACAGCATGACACCATCCAAAATTACCAGAAAAAAAGGGTTTCTAAATCAGTAAACCATGAATATGGACAAAACACCTCTACTATTACTACTATTATATATTACTATTATAGTACTCCTTTAATATACACTTAAATATATTATTGGATGATAGTTATTTTTAGTTGTAATAATTTTCTCTTCTTTATCGTTATTTAAAAATGTATTAATAAAAACTAAACTGTTCCAGCTTTGCTACCATTCCGCCAAGCATGGAAATAATCACCAATAGCGCCAACAACCGCTGTAGCTCTGTGTGGATATTAATCTTAAAATTAACCATAACAACTGTGTCAATGTACCATTTTGTAAAAAAAATTAATCCATTCCCCTTAATAAAATTACATGCAGTAAATTTGCAAGATCAAAGGTTTTTTTTTTTCGTTCCTCTGGTTGGATTTCTCTTCCCAGATCCTTATTTTTATACTTTTGATTGAATTATGTACATTTTTTTATAGTGCTTGAATTATATTTTTTGGTCAAATTCTTATTTTATTTACTTTTTTCCCCATAATTTACTTTTCTGGATCTTAGTGAACAATCCCCAAACTCTGAGTAATGGCAGCAGCCTGAGACTCTGGTCAGACATACTGACATAGAGGAAGCCTGCTGGGGACACTATTATTGTTACGACCAAAGAACTTCTACAGACTAACTGAGGTAAGATCTTTGGGCGCGCCCACACAGACAGACACTCCATGCGTGCACGTGCCCGCGCGGTGCCTGCTGGCTAAAGAAGGAGAGACACCGTGGCGGGAGCGCGCCCTGGGAAGCCCCAGCGCTTGTCCTCGCGGCGGCGCGGGGAAGTATTCCGCTCGCAGTTCCCCTTCTGGCGAGCGCGCGCCTCAACGGCAGACCCGAACTTGTCTGAGAAGCAAATGGGGAGAGGTCGCGCGCGGTAGGGGCCCTTCTGATTGGCTGGGGACAGTGAAGGGGGGAGCGCGCGCGCGCCCCCGCCCTGCCCGCTGCCAGCTCGCGCCTCGGGGAGTGAGTTATTTGGGAAGAGGGAGAAGAGGAGGGAGAAAAAAAAAAGAAGTAGAAGAAGGAGACGGATCCCGGGGGAGGCGAGTGGGAGGAGGGAAAAGTGATGGCGGCACGGCGGCTGAGAGCGGCTTAATCAGTACTCGCCACTTGGCTCTTCCCGGAGACTGTGCGGCGGCGGCTGGGAGAACGGGAGACATCCCGAGCCGGCCACACGGAAACTTCAGGTACTTCACAAACTTCATCACGAGGCCGGCCAGCTCCGGCTCTTTGTGTGGGCGGACAGGAGAGCAGGGACCGGGGGTCCTGAGAGGGAGCAGGGACAAGGGGGGGTCCTGGAGAGAGCAGGGAGGGGCAAGGGGGGTCCTGGAGAGAGCAGGGGCAAGGGGGGTCCTGAGAGAGCAGGGGGGAGAGCAGGAGGGGTCCCTGAGAGGCGCAGAGCAGGCAGGGGGTCCTGGAGAGAGCAGGGACAAGGGGTCCTGGAGGAGAGAGCAGGGACAAGGGGGTCCTGAGAGAGAGGACAAGGGGTCCTGAGAGAGCAGGGACAAGGGGGAGGGGTCCTGAGAGAGCAGGGACAAGAGAGCAGGACAAGGGGGTCCTGAGAGAGCAGGGACAAGGGGGGTCCTGGAGAGCAGGGGCAACCCTGGGAGAGAGCAGGGACAAGGGGGTCCTGAGAGAGCAGGGACAAGGGGTCCTGGAGAGAGCAGGACAGGGTCCTGGAGAGCAGGGACAGGGGGTCCTGAGCATGGGCAAGGGGGTCCTGAGAGAGCAGAGACAATGGGGGTCCTGAGAGAGCAGAGACAATGGGGTCCTAGAGCAGAGACAATGGGGTCCTGAGAGAGCAGAGACAATGGAGGCAGAGAGAGCGGGACCAGGGACAAGGGGGTCGTGGAGAGCAGGACAAGTGGGGGGGTCGTGAGAGAGCAGGTACAAGGGGGGGGCGGAAGGCAGGCGGGCGGGGTGGAGAGAGCAGGTGGAGAGGCAGGTCGGGTCGTGAGAGAGCAGGTACCAGAGGGGGGGTGGGGAGAGCAGGCACCCGGGAGAGCAGGCACGGGGGTCGTGGAGAGGCAGGCACCGGGGTGGGGTGTGGAGAGGGCAGGCACGGGGGTGGGGGTCGAGAGGGGCAGGCACCGGGGTGGGGGGGCCGGAGAGGCACCGGGGGTGGGGTCGAGAGAGCAGGCACCGGGGTGGGGGTTGGAGAGAGCAGGCACCGGGGTGGGAGAGGGCAGCACCGGGGGTTGTGGAGAGAGCAGGCACCAGGGGCACGGGATGGAGAGCAGAGACAAGAGTGAGGGGGGGTGGAGAGCAGGGACGGGGTCCAGGATAGTAGGAACTATGGCCAACAAAAGGGGCTAGGAGAGCAGGGTCAAGGGCCAGGAAACAGAGACAGGAGTGCAGTGATAAGGGTCAACAAAAGTGACCAGTGGAGCAGAGACAGGAGAGCAGGGACATGTACATGGGAGCACAGGCCAGCAACCAGGAAAGGAGAAATGTGGGCCATCAAAGAGACTAAAGTATGGAAATGGGCCAGGTGAGAGTAACAATGGCCAGAGGGCCCATTGCTAGTCTCTGCTAAGTATGGTTTTTCTGTTCCTCCAGGACCCGGGTTCCTTTCTTTCCATTCCATTCACATGCTTCTGGGCTCCTATCTTTCCATTCCTCTCACATGCTCCTGGGCTTTTATTTTAACTTTTTATTCTTTTGGATTGAGAATCACCCAGCAGTCTCCTGAGTAATCCTCAATCCAAAAGAATAAAAAAGTAGCCCAGGAGCATGTGAGAGGAATGGAAAGAAAGATGTCCAGGGACAGACATAAATGCTTGTTATATATTTACTGTCACTGTAAAACCTAGAATAGCCTTTTACAGTGAAGCTTGGCATGACTTTCACGAGATGATTAAGAGTTCAAATATGATCTTTAATTTTAAATACTTATATTTATTTTCATAAGCGAAAAAAAAGACTGCTTAATATATTATAAGGGTAATCTTGACAGCTTTGTGCTGAATGGGGTTGTTTCTGATGGGCTAGACTTTCTGTGGAAGTCAAACTTTCCTGAGGTAGGGCAGAGTATATGCTTTTTATTAAAAAAATTTTAATTGATCTATTAGTGGAAACCTCATTTGCCTCAGGACCTTGGCAGAAAGGACACTATCATGATTTTCTTCTATTTATTATTATTATTATTATTATTATTATTTATTACTGACATTTTGTAAAGTGTCAATCTATTCCACAATGCTGTACAGTCTGGAAAAATCAAATGTACCATATTAACAGACTAATAAAAAAAAAATAAAAAAAATAATTGGACCCGTTATATAGTTAGAATTGCAACTCACATTCTGCTTTGCCAGGTTTAAAGGACCACTTCAGCTCAATGAAGTGATCTGGGTGCCAGATCCCCCAGGTTTTAACGCTTCAGATTTAAACTGCTATGTTTACATTGCGGGGTTAATCCAGTCTCTAGTGGCTGTCTTCTTGACAACGCTCAATGCGAAAATCGCATTGAGCACGCAGAGCATCCATAGGAAAGAATTGAGAAATGCTTTCCTATGGGCATCTTTAAAGCGCGCGGCTCTGGCTGCGCATGTGCTTTCGGCTCCACTCGGGAGGAGAGATCACCAGCGCCGAGGGAGCCCGTCGCTGGATAAAGGTAAGTGGCTGAACGGGTTTTAACCCCTTCAGCCCAGCGGGAGTGGGGCCCTGAGTGTGGGGGGACCTAAGGATTATATATATTGTCAGGAAAACATGTTTGTTTTCCTGACACTATAGTGATCCTTTAAGCATACTTGGAATTTTACAACAGCTGCGAGGACCACCTCATTGCCACTTCTGGTTTACAGAGTAGGTTGGAGTGTTCTAGCTCTGTGTTACAAAGTCTTCTGCAGTTACTCACCACCTGCAGGTATTTTACTGTGTCTATAAAAGTCCTTAAATACATTTTTTTACATTTAATCCTTAAGTGTTTATTGCACTGTAAACTTTAGTTAGATCAGTGGGAAATTGTCATTGTATGCTTTCTAAAAGTTTCTATTACAATGCCAGATCTAGCAGTAATTCCTTAAAACGTGCAGTGAGTTGCAAAAAAACCCTCACAGTAAATACATGAGAAATCAATTGGAACTTTGAAAGTGGTTCTTCATAAACTTGCATTTACATGTTCAGAACTTGTGGAAGATACTTTGTTCCCTGTATAATTTTTTTTTTCTTACAGCAGATGGTTGTCTTGTGGCAATGAAATTATACAGACTGAATGTGGTGGGGTGACTCCTTACTTGGCGTTTCCCATGAACTCAGAGGAGAAATAATTCTTATGATTTCTGTTGTCCATGTAACCTGGAGTGACACTGAATTATTTTCCTGAAGACTACATAATTAGTGACATAAAAATGATGAAAACCGAAGGGAAAGGGGAGAGGACACTTAGAAGTGCTTCTCCACACAGAAATGCATACAAGTCTGACTTCCATGCCATTAAGTGTTCATTTGATGGTGTAAAACCTGAAATTTCACCTAAGCCAGTGTCTCTGAAGCTGAATACCAATGGATCTCCAGGTGAAACAAGAGGACGTGCCTCATATGGTAACCGTGTCCACAAGATCAAAAATATGTTCATGCAAATGAGCTCATGTCCCAATGAAAATACTGTGGAGACTAAACTAATTAAAACAGATTTTGTTTCCCCTGTGACAAACAATTCTAGTGAAAGTGTACAAAAGATCAATGCCTTAAATGCAAGTCCTGAACTGCCATCTCCCGAAAAGGTGGTCAAGACGAATGAGGAAGTGGATTTGGACAAGGCATCCTTGGCTGAAAAGTTTTCAGAAACCAGGAAGCTGTTTGAAAGAAACCTCAACCGTCAATCTACATTTGACAGATCATCTCCCACCAAGGAAGAAAAGGTGTCCAGGATTGAACGAAGACAGGGCTCTTTTGAATTAGAAAGTGCTTCTTCTGATCGCAGCCCCTCTAGTGTATCTTCCATGACAAGTATTGCCACATCTCCTACATCTTCTAAGAATAGAGAATCCCAAGAGACAAATGTATTGAGTCACAGATCCTCCTCCAGCTCTTCCTCTGTCAGTGCAGGACCAATCTCCAGGAGGCTGGATAGTTTTCTTGGTGACAGTGATGGCGAGGAAAACAAAGACTTGTCCAAGGCAGATAACTGTTTGAGCGATGCTGAGAATTCAAGTTTGCCACCAGCAGAAAACAGCATAGTTACTTTGTCAGCCAAGAAACTGAATAATAATGTTGGGACCAAACACATTTCTACTCATGACCAAAGGTCAGAAGAGACCTTGTCCTTGGAGAGTAAATCACGCTGTTCAAATGCTGTAATTGGAGATGACATAACGTCTCTTAAGAATAACAATAGCCCATTTAACTACTCATCTGACTCCAAGAGTTTTGTAACTGAAAAATCACAAACTGAAATGGTGAGAGCAGAACTGGTAGTCTTACAAAATGAATCGTCTGAGAGTGATGGTGAAGATTTGAAAGATGATGTGTTTGATGACCTAAAGACACTTGACCAGAAACAGTTGGATTTTGTCCAAAAGTTTGAAAATGGTGTGAAGCAACAAAGTGAGGCAGGTTCTGAAGACCTTGCTATCACACCATCAGAGGACATCCCCAAGAAACCACTTGATGATGTAGAGACTGTGGATAGTGAAGAGGATGATGAGAGTGAATTTGAGGAACCCATAGATAAAAACAAAAGTACAGTTCAATATTCCACAAATGTGTATGGGATTGAAAATGCTGCTTTTGACGATGACCGAGACACAGAAACAGAGAATTGCATAGGTGACAGCAAAGAAGCGTTTGCCACTGAAGATGAGGATTATGAAGTCTGTAGCGATTATGAAGAACTATCTGGTCTTTCTGAAGAGGAGAACCCGGAGCCCAACCGAAAGGTCAAGTTTTCTACTGCTCCAATTAAGGTATATGCAGAACTTTGTATTATGTATTATATTTTATTTATTGCATTGAAGAGCAAACAAAACCCTTTTTTATTTTATTTTTTCACACTGCATGAACTTTTTATTGATTTAATTTAACATCTATTTTTTATTGTTTGTTTGATTCCTTGCATTAATCCATGTGTGAAATATTTCTTGGTGCAACAATGTTATTGTTGTCGGCCTTACAGAATGCTCATTGTTTAGTTATATAAGAAATATTTTACTATATGTATGTAGGATACCAGGGTGACTCCCCTACTACCTCAGATGAGTCCATGATTGGTTTCGCTTATCTTGTCATAATATTTATTTGTAATTAGGGTTTCCAGATTACCAACTTATTCTTGTAGTTTACCACTATCTGTATATTGTTTAATGCAGCTGAAGGATGTAAATACTCAAGGCTACCAGCTGTGCGAATATTTTTGTAAAAATTTTTTTTCCATATGTACTCAGGTAAACACAGGTTAACCCCTTCTTGACAAGGCTTTAGGGAAACTCTCTTTGTCATGATAACCCAGGAAACTGATTTTGTAATGGAGTTCCTCCGAGACAAATAGATGAACAGATTACAATGGAAACAAGCTGGGAAGTTGTAATTAAAAACTAAAGTTAAAGTAGGCAAGTTCGAAATGTAACTGGTTTGTGAATAAATTACATTTAGTAATAGGTTGTTGGTTTCCTTGTTTGAAAGCTGTAATACAGCCTGCATCCTTGCCTATGACATACTACCTGCATTAAGGCCTGTAATCTGTATTGCATCAAAAGGACCCTCATTGCTCTGGTACAAATGAAACAGCCCGCAGAGCTTTATGTGGCTGCACTGTATTTTTAATATTTACTTTTTGTCATTGGTGCAAAAGTTAAAGGGGGGAAAAAAATGTTTTTCAAATTTAAGCAAATTCATAAATTTTTGCAGTGAGAATTTTTTTCATTTTCTCACTTGTGAGTGTGTGAGCTACTGACAAATGTTGATAATATGAATTCTGTGATTGCAAAGAACATTGTATTCTTTAACCACGCAAATTTTATGCTGGCACAGATAGTCTCCATGGTAACTATTTTATTTGCCCTTTTTGTTTTATAGTAAGGTTTTAAGAACTATGAGAATACTGGTAAAGGTGTGTGTGTGTGTGTGTGTGTGTGTGTGTATGTTTATACTAAAAATCATTTTCTGTGTTGGGAGATGTGCGCATATATATATATATTTTTTTTTTTTTACTATGCGTCAAAGGCTGGCTACATTTCTACAGGTAATACAGACATGTAATTTCCACATTATCCATTTGGCTGTGGAGGGGCCGGGTTATGGATCTGGACACTCCAAATCATACAAAAACTGTGTGACAGAATCATAGTCATCAGCTATACAGTGCTCACTTAAAAGGACACTGCAACTGTTTTAGCTCATTCAATTGTTTATATTATCTGGAGTCCCCTGGAGCTGTCCTTCCATTCAGTCTAAAACAATTTTAATGGGTTCAACGAGAGTCCTCCGTAGCCCACACCCTCTGTTCTCCTTGGGCAATTAAAACATTATCTTGAGCATTAGTGGGTGGCAGTGATTGGATTTGAATGGCAGTTGAACGTTTTCACCCTATTATAGCGATCTGTTGTATGTATGAAAAGGAAGTGGGTAATCTCTGCTTAATCATACCCCCACTTGGCGCTGGGCTGTCAGGCAACCAGGGACCCACTTGGTGGGATATTGGCAACTAGTCCCTTCAAGGAGCTGTCTAGGTACCATAACAACTGTATACACCCCATTTCCCCCCTCGAATACTGGAGGATATAATAATATTTTGCATCAATAGCAGAAAAATGTGAGATTTAGAGTGTTTGTTCTATCTAGATTACAATGCAACTGTTACTCATATCATTTTATCCATATTTTAACTGCATTCATGGCTTAGGTCAGCCAAATGCCTTAAAATAAACTTTATACTAAACACTACCATTTTACTATGAAACAAAAAAACCTAGAATTATGTTTCCTGTTTGTAGACCAGCAGTTGCTGTTTAGCTCTTCACTTCAGAACACTTATAATGTTGAAACATTATTATTTTATTATTTATATAGCGCCAGCAAATTCCGTAGTGCTGTGGAATAATCACAATTTAAAATAGTGTTATCCAAATTAGCTTTAAGTGTCCAGATGTGGATTTGTATTGCACATATATCCTTTTTATTTTTTTTTTGTTTCTCATTTGTAATTTCTTTAAGGGAATATATAAGAAGAGCTTGTTGTATTGCAGGGCTTGACAAATCCCAGGTTGCCATGGCGACCAGGAAATTTGTCCTGGCGCCTGGGATTTTGAGCCTGTTCAGCCCCCGAGGTGACCGGCTGCCTGAGAGCACAAGCGGGCAGTCAGCTCACAGAGGGCTGAGGTAGGGGGGCAGCTCATGGATAGCTGAGGGATGGGAGGCAGGTGGGCGGGCAGGTGGCCGGCTAATGGAAAGCTGAAAGAGGAAGGCGGGTGGCTCATGGAGAGCTGAGGAGGGCGGGCTGTTGAATGAGTTCAGAGGGGAGGGCGGCCAGCTGACTTAGTGCTGCGGCGAGGGAGCTTAAATCTCCCTGCTCTGCTCCCTTGCGCGCCCTCCAGTGATGCCAGGAGCTGTGTTATGACATCACTCCAGCTCACTAAACAGTACGTGAGAGTGAGATGGCAGTAGACCCACTGAACCCCAGGTAAAGATGATTCACTCCAGCTCTCCCAAAGGTAGGGAGGCTAGATGGATTTAAATTTTTTTTTATTTTTAATGATTTGTGAGTGTGTGTGAGTGTTTGTTTCTGTCTGTGTGTGTGTGTATGTTTTTAGTGACCTGTTCCTCTCCAGTCACATGGGAAAGGTGTTTTTGCTCACCTTTTTTCCCACGCTGTGCTGGTTATGCCGCAGCTGACCCCACCTCCATGGCTGAGATAATCTTAACGATCTCAGCCAATCTAATGCTTCCCAATAGGAAAGCATTGGGAGACTATTTCACATGCAAAGCAAAATGCCAATGCACCTATCAACTTCTCATAGAGATGTATTGAATCAATGCATCTCTATAGGGAACATTAACATAGGTGCTGCACAGTATGAAGCGCTGACCCGGGAAGCACTTCTAGAGGCCGTCTGAGTGACTGTCACTAGAGGTGTCACCAGGCTGCAATGTCTAAAAAGTCAGAGTTTACATTAAAAAGCGTTCAGGGACAGGATATAGACTTCAGAACAACTACATTAAGCGGTAGTGTTTATGGTGACTAGTGTCCCTTTAAGAATTTAATTTTTGGCGTTGAAATACCTGGCTCCTAGATTTCATACAAATTTGTCAAACTCTGTTGTATTGTATGAGTTTAAGTTATGGCATCCACACTTGGAAGATGCCATTCAAAACTTCCTGCTCCGGAGAATAGTTTTATTCTCAATTTATGATATAGTTTTTGAGTTGCTAGGACTTGGAAACAGTTCGGGGCAACATCTAATTTTGAAGGTGAGCCATTGTGCATTTTCCCAGTGTTTGTTGAAAATGAAAAATGTTTTGTTATATATTTAGAAAATTATTTTAAGAGACACTTATGATATGGGGTGTGGATAAATACATTAGGACTTGTGTGTACTGTTCACAGTATTTATTAGATTCAGTTTAGCATGTAAATCAAAATGATTTCTTGATTTACCACAAATTTTACTCGTGGAGGAAAGAAACTGTTATATTATGTGAAGTGCTCTGCAAAGCACAGTCAACTGTAAATCTGTGTTGTGACAAAGTTTAATTGTACTGTGAGCATTTTTGGCAGTTACAAATTGAAACCGTATGTATAAAGACTGGTCAGCCGAGATATAATCTTCAGTAATGTTGCGCAAAAATACCATATGTGTGGAAATCATTGACTGAAAAATACCATTGCTGCAGGGAAATGTTATGATTGCTAGGCAGATCTGTTTAAAACCACTACCTGCTTCAGCTGAAACCTTGCCTCACAGGGAAAGTATACCATGCAAGGTTTTTATACCTGTAATTTTAATTTCCTACTAAAGCAGTTGAAGTGCCTCTGTGGTCTGGTATCTGTTTAATACTCCCCAAAATGGACAGACATTTAAAAACTAAAACAACAATTGTCATTGGGAAAAATATTTTATTCCAGTGCATGTATCAAACCAGAGATTCTCCAAGCATCAGGACTACCTTTTGTCTTACGTGTTCTAGTACAATGAGGTCCCTTAATACTGTTAATTACAGCTGAAGTGATTCATAGAAATCTTGTATGTTGTGTTACATGTATAAGCCTTGCACAAATTGTATGGTCTCTAAACTATTTGGGTTATACTCCTTAAACCTAAGGAAAATGCAGTACATAATTATCGGATGCATTATAAACTGAAGATTTTATGTATAGACTTAAGCTTAGTAATATTAATGTTGTCTTTGCTTTTTTAATATAACATTTGTATTGTTATATCTAGTAAGTAAATAGATGTATATTCATAGAATATGTATATGTTTAGTCAGTCTATAGCTTTAAACATAGAATTATGTGCACTGATTTGTGTATGTAAATCTTAGACTGTGTATATGTTTTTGGTTTGGTCTCCATGACAGTAAAGAGTAAGAGTGATTGTAATTTTCTGTCATGGAACATTGCTGAAACTTGACTATTCAATGTATATCTTATGCATGATTTAAAATCAATTTTGGTTAAAATATGGCATGAATCAGTCACCAGAACCTTGCATCAGTTCCAAATGTGCCTGCTTTGACTTGCTGTTCTTTACATGATCCCCTCTATCATTCTTGCTACACATTTTACAGCAAGTGTTATATTTTGATTTACTAAGTATCTTTTCTCACTGATACTCTCCTTGCTATATTTTGTTATTGGAAGGTTCAGTGTTTTACCAAAGCTAGACCACAGGACATAGATTTAGCCTTGTGCTTTTTGTTTTTATAATTTACTTTTCACATTTATATTTTTTAGCATATCTAGTAAAAGTTATGTTTTAACGTTCATTATAACTTTGACAATATTGATTGAGACAGCTATTGGTAGTGTTTTTCTTTTATCTTTTTTATTCACATCAATTTCGCCGATAGTTGGTGCAAGGAAAGATCCGCATTAGATGGCCATGAGGCAAACAATGATAGCACGTAGAGGAGTCTCGTGGTCTAGGTAGGCGGGAACCGCGCAGAAGCCGGCATTCTATGTTGTCCTGCCGGACAACCCTCAAAACCCTGTTTGGCCTCAGAAATTGTTGACCTCTATACATTTATTGCTCGGTAGGCTCAGCCAGCTTCAAACAGAGACGTGAGGAATTGGAGAATTGCTATTACAGGCGCTGAAACAGGATCCACGTTGTGTAGGCCCCCGTAGCCAAGTGAGCCAACCGTGCTGACTAGGTGCTGCCCATGGGGTTGACATATTGAACTGCTGATATGTTGTCCATACGTAAGGGAATGCAGGCATTGGCGGTCCACTAGGCGAAACTCTGAATCGCAAAGGCTTCTGCTAGAAGCTCTAGAGCATTGAAGTGTATTCCGAATTCGCTCTCTGATCAGCGCCCTCCTGTGGACACCCCTTCACAGTGGCCTCCCCAGCCATGGAAGCTGGCATCAGAGTTTATGGTGAACTCCGGCTAAGATCCGAATATGGTGTTAGTGGATTCACAATTTATGGCCGTTCCACGCACATAGATTGTAAATCCACCAACGCAAGTCGTCTTTCGTTTCCCTGTCCAGTGATATCAGGTCCGCATATGATGCTCCTTCGCGAAGATGTGCAATCTTCAACTGCTGGAGAGCTCGATAGTGAAGAGGAGCCGGGAACACTGCCTGGATCGACTATGCCAACTGTCCAATGAGTCTTGCCAAGGGACGCAGGGTGAGATGTAGTTGGGTAAGTGCCCTGCGAAGTTCCTTGCGGATCGCCCGAACCTTCGACATAGGTAGGGGTAGGCTCAAGGAGTTCTCCTCCGAGTTCAAAAGGAAGCCCAAGAATTCAATTTTTCTGGATGGTGTCAGGCAAGATTTCTCCCAGTTGATGAGAAAACCCAGTCGGGTCAGCAGATCCACCGTCCGTCGCAGATGCTACAGGAGGACGGAGCGATCCTGAACCATGATCAAAATATCATTCAGATAAATAAGGCAAACCCACCGACTGCAGAGCCAGGCCATTGCTAGACGTAGCAGCTTGGTGAAGCACCAGGGCGCCGAAGAGAGGCCAAATGGAAGCCCGGTGAAGCCCAAAGAGAGACCAAATGGAACCCCGGAATTCTACATTATCACCGTTCCTATTCCAAACCACATTTTACAGTGTGCACACACTCAGGTCTAGCATTCGCCAGCCAATCCCCTTGCAGGAGTAAATCCCTGAGAAGATGGATGCCCTCCATCTTGAAATGCTGGTGGCGTACCCTGGTATTGAGCGGGTGCAGATTGATAATCAGGCGCATTTGGCCACCCTTTTTCTCTACCAGGAAGACATTGCTGATGACTCCTGGCGGGCTTAGAGCGAGGCAAGAGCCGTGCGCGCATTCAAACCGCCCATAGGAAAGCATTTCTCAATGCTTTCCTATGGACGTCAGCGTCTTCTCACTGTGATTTTTTTTTCACAGTGAGAATCGCAGAAGCAGCCTCTAGTGGCTGCCAGTGAGACAGCCACTAGAGGCTGGATTAACCCTCAGTGTAAACAAGGCAGTTTCTCTGAAACCGCTATGTTTTCAGCTGCAGGGTTAAAACTAGAATGACCTGGCACCCAGACCATTTCATTGAGCTGAAGTGGTCTGGGTGCCTATAGTGGTCCTTTAACTGACGGTGGAGAAGCAAAGAGAGAGGAAATGTGCAGGGAGGTGCTGACTATTATACAGGGACTTGGTATATGAGTGGCTTATCACTGTGTATGCCATTTTTTCCTTACTGTTTTGTATTCTTTGCCGCTGTTGGTGGACAGTATAGAAAGGGATATGCAATATGAGCCTCCGTGTCTTGTTATAAAATTGAGTTTTGTAAATTTGTGGTATCCACTATTGGAAGAGGATATAAATAAGTTTTAGCACTAAAAGCACACTCCAAATTGTACTAACTTTACATTCACAATGCCCTGCAAAGTTGTTGTTTGTGGAGGGGTTTTCGGCATAGTTTTGCATTGTTTTTTAAAAAAAATAACTACTTTGGTTTCTAGCACTCATCAATTTTTTTGTGAATTATTTTATATGCATCTTATTCACTGGAAATATTTCAGCAGTAACAATGTTATGGTCATCTTATTGATGTTAGACATGAGTATCCTAGTTTCCTGACCCCATTAACCTTTTGGAGTTCATAAAACCAAATTTAATATAGATCTACAGCTTGTTTGAGCAGGACACTCTTCATCTCCTGCTTTTGTAGATACTGGTTTGGTTGTCAATTGCCTGCTGTTTTACATAATCTTTGTAAAATTGTAAAGCTCTGTAGAATAATGTTGGCATTGTATAAATGATGATAATAGTATCTGCCACTGACCTAAGATTTATCCTCTGATCTATAAAGCTTTGTAACTTAAATCATTATAAAGAGCTCTGCTCCTCTGAGGTTATTAATAAATATTTTAATTACTTGGCACTGATTGTGTGGTTTTCACATGTCTGGAGTATGCTGTATTTTGTGGATACTATTGCAATTAACACTATTTTTCTTTTTCCCTAGAATATTACATTTTGGGGCATAATATACTATAGAAATGTTGCTTACATTTATATCCAGACCTAAATTGCTATATGGATAGCCTGTCCTGTCTGCATTAAAGATCCTTAATTCTCTTTTTTGTTTTTAAGGAACCTGAGAAGTCCGCATAGTAGAGTTCTGGAACTTTTGTTCGTTCTGTAATGTTATTTTGTGTGTTTATGGAGTTCAGTCATAGTTATTTTTAAATGTGTTTGGGTCCTGCCCCTCTGCCATATGCTTAGCCCTGCTTAGGACCATTTATCCAAGCATGTGATCTTCCTAAATAAGAGAACTAGGTGTCATCCACCTCTGTTAATAAGGATGCACCTGACAGAGCTCTGCATAGAGGCACTAAACTTTTCCCATAGAGATGCATTGATTTAATGCATCTCTATGAGGAGATACTAATTGGTGCAGTAGACTCTCAGTAGTCTCCCTCACTGCCCAGTTCCATTCTTTCCGGCCGGCCGCCTCCACTCTGCCTGAGCTGGACGTCCAACTCGGAGGGAAGAGGTTGACAAATCTAAGATGCCTGGGATTTGTCGTGCACTGGTGTAGGTTCTAAACAACTCTGGTGCGTCACTTGATCTGAAAAACAAATTAACTTCCATAGTGTAAAAATGTTTTATTAAACTCCTTTTAAAAAAATTCAAAAGTTGCTCTTGTCCATCAGGAGACGTCACTTCTCTAATAGCCGGAATCCTCTGTTAAAGTCCAAACATTGGTTTACTCTCCTAAAATGCAGCGTTCTTGGAGGGCTTCTCATATACAGTACTTGAAAAAAGAGTAGCAATTCACTCCAGCATGCGATGTACTTTACTAAGCCGCCTTGCATTTCAGTTTGTATTCACTAACTCTCCCTCGCGACAGCATTTGTAGTGTTGTCTTTTGAGTCTGTGAAGTAAACTTTACTCCCCAATTGGTGTAAACGTATGGAATTAATAAGAAAAAAAATAACTTAAAAACAGAGTTTAAAGTCAGAGTCCACATTCCTTGCTTTTGGCAATTCAATAATATTTATTAATAGAGGCTAAACAAACAAATAAACAATACATATACATTTGAAATAGGCTAGTTGCTACCAAAACTAGTCATTGATTGAATGGAAAGTTAACTAAATTAACATGGTGAAACCGGCATAGACACATTATTATTATGTTGTTTATATAGCGCCATCAAATTCCGCAGCGCTTTACAATGGGTGGACGAACAGACATGTAGTTGTAACCAGACAAGTTGGACACACTTGAACAGAGGGGTTGAGGGCCCTGCTCAATGAGCTTACATGCTAGAGGGAGTGGGGTAAAATGACACAAAAAGGTAAGGATAGTATTAGACTAGTGACAGTTGCAGATGAGGAATCAGTCAGGAGCTATTAACAGTTTAATTGATACGCTTTTATGAAGAAGTGGGTTTTTAGCAATTTTTTTTTTTTGAAGGAGTGGAGACTGGGTGAGCATCTAACAGAGGAGGGAAGCGAGTTCCACAGGAACGGTGCAGCCCTTGTGAAATCTTGAAGGCAAGCATCAGAGGTGGGAGTACGGACAGAAGATAGACTTAAGTCTTCAACCGATCGGAAGGGCCTAGACGGGACATACTTTTGTATAAGGGAGGATAGATAGGTGGGAGCAGCATTATGTAGCGATTTGAAAGCAAGAACCAGAATTTTAAATTGAGCTCTATATTTTATAGGAAGCCAATGTAGGGATTGACAGAAGGGTGAGGCATGGGAGGTGCAGGCGGACAGGAAGATGAGCCTTGCCGCCGCATTCATTATGGACTGTAACGGCGCTAGTTGGGAGCACGTAAGACCACTGAGAAGCGGATTACAGTAGTCAAGGCGAGAAAGGACAGTGGAATGAACCAACACCTTAGTCGCATCTGGCGTTAAGTAGGGGCGGATGCGCACAATGTTTTTGAGATGGAAATGACAGGATTTGGCGATAGATTGAACATGAGGCTTGAAGGAGAGGTCTGAGTCAAAGAGAACAACTAGGCAGCAAGCCTGCGTGGTGGAGCTGATGGTAGCACCATTGACTTGGAGGGAGACAGACACAGGAATAACAACACTCGAGGGAGGAAAGACCAGAATTTCAGTTTTGGTCAAGTTTAGTTTAAGGAAGTGGGCAGCCATCCAGTTAGAAATAGCAGAAAGGCAGTCAGAGACACTAGTCAAGAGGGAGAGAGATCAGGAGAGGACAGGTAGATTTGTGTCATCTGCATAGAAATGATATTAGAAGCCAAAGGAGCCAATGAGTTTACCAAGGGAGGCAGTATAGATGGAGAACAGTAGGGGACCACGGGATGAACCTTGGGGGACACCAACAGAGAGGAGTTGGGAGAAGGAGCAGAGCCAGAGAAAGAAGCGCTGGGAGAGGTAGGAGAGAGCAATATCTTGTAGACCGATATTGCGGAGGATGAGAAGAAGCTGTTGATGATCAACAGTGTCAAAAGCCGCAGACAGGTCAAGGAGAATTCGGGATTATTCTAACCTTAGTGACCGAATAATCTAAATTTTATTAAAGACAGGAGGCGAATATTTGCTTTTACTTTCTTTACTGTTACTCCCAGCAGCAAAGAAACAGTTAACAGTAAGTAGAAAAAATTTAACCAATCAGAGTGTACAATAGATTATGTCCAGTCATCAGGCTCCTCCCAATTCCTCTTTCGTGTTGCAGCCGACCGCCGTAGAATCAACCATGTAAACGGTGAAACAATAAACGTCTCAATTGTAGTCAACCATGTAAACGATGTGGGAACATAGGTAATTCCTCGAGATGTAGTGAAGAGTTCTCACACTAGGAAAAAAGAGAGAGAGGTCGTGAAAGTATGGTTTCTTAGGTAAAGGAAAAACAATACCTAATTACGTTATCTGATATGTTTCCAACAAGTTGTACAGTCCTAGTTTGACAAGTCTTAAATTATGAGATAGTGAGTGTAGTATCCGTAAAGGTAGTTGTAGGAGAGGCCTGAAGCGTAGGTTATGAAACATTGGTGTAGGCAGTAGAGGTGTTGTGGAATACTTACCTAGTTAGGTTGAGTGTGTGTATTAGCGGGTGGGAAAATATTCGCCTCCTGTCTTTAATAAAATTTAGATTATTCGCTCACTAAGGTTAGAATAATCCCGAATTTTATGGCAAGACAGGAGGCTTCATATTTGGTGTTTTAAAGCGATGATATAATGGCATTAGATACATGAGGGGGTTGTCTAAAATAAAAAGTTCGGAAGGTGGATTCTCTAGACCAATCAGCGGAAGTGAGGATCTCCGTTAGGGAGCCTCCAGATGTAAGTGCAGACGAGGCGGCCGCGCCTCTGACTGAGTGAGCACCAAAACATGGGTCGATACCAGTTAGGACTAGAAGCCATTTGATCCAACGAGCAATCGTGGGACATGACACTGGCTTGTGAGGTCGAACGTAGGATACCAGTAGGGGTCCCGTTCGTGGTCTAAGGTCCTTGGTGCGGAGGATGTAGTGTTTGACACAACTAGCTACGCAGAGCATGGGTTTGTCGTGAAAATAAGGGTAGCTTACTGTAGATGAATTGGTTTTGGTGCGTCGGGTAATGGAGAAGTGCACTCCCTCAGGGGTAAAGTCCACCGCGTGGACATCAAACGCTCTGATGTCCGAAACTCTTCTAAACGATACCAAACAGAGCAGTAGTGCCAGTTTGGCCGACAATTGTCGAAGAGAGAGCTCTCCGTTAGGAGGCCACTCCTCCAAAAATGATAATACTATAGTAACATCCCAAAATTGATTATATTTGGGTGCCGGTGGTCTCGCAAGGCGCATGCCTCGCAGAAGTCTACATATGGAGGGGTGTTTACCAACCGCGGAGTTATCAACCAGGCTATGGGCTGCCGAAATGGCTGAACGGACAACGTTAATTGACCGATAAGACTTACCCTGTTCGAAAAGTGACGCCAGGAAGTTCATAATGTTGATCAGAGAAGTTGAAAAGGGATCAGCGTCCCTCTCCAAGCACCAGCTATTCCAGCATTGCCACGCTGAGAGATAAGAGCGTCTTGTGCCCGGTGCCCAAGAGTCCCATAGTAGTTTTTGAGCAGTAGTCGAAAGGCCTGAGACATTCCAGGATCCCCTGAAATGGTCCAGGCCACTAACCGAAGGTGACCTTGTAGTGCTAGTGGATGGAAATTGCCTGAGGGGTCCCTGAGGAGATTGTAAGAGGTGGGTAGGAGTAGGGGGTAGTCCACTGACATCTCCAGGAGATACGGGAACCAAGGTTGAGTTCGCCACAGCGGGGTTACCAGAATTATGGTGACGCCCTGAGTTCTGAGATATTGAATCGTGCGAGGAATCATGGAGAATGGGGGAAAGGCATACGCTCCGGATGTTGGCCATGGTTGGAGAAAGGCGTCTACTGCCAGGCACGCTGGGTCTGGGAGCCAGCTGAAGAATGAGTCCGTCTGACGATTCAGGCGAGATGCAAATAGGTCCAGGGTGAATGGTCCTCTCAGGGTCTGTAGATGATGAAAGATTTGTGGATCCAGTTGCCAATCGCTGGAATCCCTCCAGTGGCGTGAGAACCAATCTGCGACGAGATTGTCGGGGCCCGGGAGATATTCTGCACGAAGGGAGATATTCCTGTCCAGGCAGAAATGGTACAATTCCTTTGTCAGATCTGATAGCATCTTTGATCGTGGGCCACCTAGGCGGTTCACATATTGTACTGCTGAGACATTGTCCATCCGCAGGATGAGGCTGCAGTTGTATGCCTCCTTGGCAAAACTGCGGATCGCGAAAGAACCAGCGATCAGTTCAAGGCAATTGATATGTAGTGCCCGTTCTGATGGGGACCAGAGGCCTCCGGTGGAACGTTCCGAACAGGTGGCACCCCATCCGAGGAGACTGGCATCCGATTCCAGAATGAAGTCGGGTTGCCGACCGAAGATGGCCCTTCCGTTCCAGGCTTCCATATGTTGAAGCCACCAGTGGAGTTCTAGTTGGACTTCGTCCGTGAGGAAGATCTGTTGGTCGTAAGACGGTGAGCGATGTAAGTAGTGTGTTCTCAAGCGCTGCATCGCCCGGTAGTGTAGCGGGGCTGGGAATATTGCCTGGATGGAGGCGGAGAGTAATCCGATTGTGCGGGCTAAATCCCTGAGTCGGAGGTAAGGCGTTGTTAGTAATCTCCTGATGTCCTTTTTTATGGACTTGATTTTCGCAACAGGTAGTTGCAGTACTGCCTGAATCGAATCTATCTGGAATCCCAGAAACTGTATTGTCTGAGATGGGAGCAGAGATGATTTTTGGAGGTTGATGATGAAACCCAAATTCTGAAGAAGTCATCTCCGTATGGAGAAGTAGAGTCTCCTTGTCTTGTGCCATAAGGAGGATATCGTCCAAGTATATGATGGACCGAATTCCTTGTGAACGGAGGAGCGCCATCACCGGTTTCATTAGTTTGGTGAAACACCAAGGCGCGGAGCACAGCCCGAAGGGGAGGCAGGTGAACTGCCATAGTGTCTCGTCCCAAATGAATTGGAGGAAAGTGCAATGTTCTGGCGTGATTGGTATCGTAAGGTATGCATCTTTGAGGTCGAAATGGGAAAACCAATCTCCCTCGCAGAGGAGGTCCCGTAATAGGTGGATGCCTTCCATCTTGAAGTGTCTGTATCTGATGAATTTGTTCAGTGCTCTCAGATTGATGACTGGTCGGAATTCTCCCGACTTTTTCTTGACCAAAAACATATTGCTTACGAAACCTCGTTGCGTGAGTGCTCGTTCGATGGCACCTTTGTTGACTAGGTCGTTGAGTTCGGCTTGAAGGGCCATGTCGTCTATTTGAGACATTTTGAGAGGGACAGGTAAGGATACCTGCATTGGATCCTCTGTAAAGTCTAAGTGGAAGCCGGAGACGGTCTGAAGGATCCACGGATCCTGCGTGAGTTGGTACCACTGTTGGGAAAAGTGTATTAATCGGCCTGCTATAGGTACATGAGAAGAATGAGAGTCCCTTACCTGCAGGAGTGCGACCGCGGAGGGAAGCAGATCCACGTCCTCTAATGGCTCCACGAGAGGGGAAGAACTGTTTGTGGTGGAAACGGGTATTGCCCGAGTTCCAGTGTTCGGATGGTCGAGGCCTATAGCCTGTAGAGGCAGCTCTGCCAGCCGTCCGGCCTCTGTAATGGCTGGCTCTCCCAGAAAAACGTTGGGACCTAAATACCTTGCGTAATGAAGATTGCGCTTTTGTAAGCGTAGTAAACACTGCCACGTGTTTATTTAATTCTTTAATAAATTTGTCTCCAAAAAGCATACCTTGTGCCTCAGGGCCAAGCTCTTTAGTGCCTAATTCGGCAAGCTTTGAGTCGATCTTATATAAAGCGGCTTTCCGCCTTTCAGTTGACATAGCAACATTCGCGTTGCCTAGTAGGCATAATGCCCTCTGTGCCCATTCTCGCACCATGTGTGCGTCTAGAGTGCCACCTGCCAAAGCCTCATCTGCAATAGTGAAAATCTGGATAAGCGGTCCCGCCATATCCATCATTTTATCTTGCGTGGCCTTCAGGCCTTGCTCCAAACCCTTACGGGGGTCTTTTCCTGTCTTGTACAGGAAAGTGACGAGTAAGGGATCGAATTCTGGGGTAACCGCCACCTTGTCTGGGATTATAGGTCGTGGGCATTCTGCCCTTAATTTAGCTCTGACCTCTTTTTCCAAAGGTTTACGGAGCCACATCCTACAAAACTTAGCTATGTGGTCTGGGGGGCTCCACTCTGCAGAGCGTGGGTGTTTGATATACCTAGGGTCGAACAAGGGGCGGCCAGAGGTATCTAATAAAATATCCTCAGACATGTTCTGGTTAGGGTCAGCGGTTAGGAACTCATTTTGGTGGGGTTCATGTGAGGGAAGGTCCTCGTCTGAATACCCTGCAGAGTATTCATCCAGTACCTGAAGTTGCAGGTTGGAAGTTGAACCCTCTAATGGGTCAAAATTATAATTGGGGGTATCATCCCGAATACCAGAAAGGGATAATCTAGGTGCTTTTGCTGGTGCCTTGCCTTTACCGGCACTAGCACTATTGCCCTTCCAAGGGCGTTTGCGGGGGCATTCGTCATGGTCTGAATCTTTTGACTCTTCAGAGTCTGAGAGGTGAACGACAGGAGCTCTGGGGGCAGACTTTGAATGTTCCTGAAACGCTGCCAAAGCTTTGGGAATGGATTCTGCGATGGCGTTATACAGCCAAGTTTTGAGCTCCGCAGAGACTGGTGGTTCAGTTAGATCAGACATTTTTATAATGAAGTGGGGTCACCACGAGTATAAATAGATATACAATTTTTTTTTTTTTTTTTTGTGGCAGTGGACTTATGCAAAAAACACAAAACACGTGTGTATATATATATACTCGAAGAGTTAATCAAGTGTGGGGGTCACCCAAAGTTATTACAGCTGAAACGGTATAGCCGTATTAATATTACGTAATGAGGGGGTCACCCTCAGGAGACAATAAAAAGGGGTTCACCCTTTAAATGAGGCAGAAAAGGTGTATAATATAGAGGGGGTCACCCTCTTTAATGAGGCAATTATTAAATTAAAAGTGAGGGGGTCACCCTCAGTACTGAGACAAATTTTCCTGTTTGCAAGGGTTTAGAGTAATCTGCAATAAAACAAAGCAGGAACACTTTAATAATACTTGTTAACAGTTCCAATGGTAACTTTCAGTTAGAATATATGTGTTAATGTACTTACCTGAAAGTACCAATAGAGGCGCTGGAGAGCCGATGTGAGCAGCAGCCGTCCAGACGTTCCGGTGCGATGGAGGAAAAGAGCGCGAAAAAAGCCCGCCGAGAAATGGCCGCGGGAGGAAGAAGACGTCGCTATGGAGACAGGTAAGGGGCTGGGATTGTTCCCACAGAGGGGGGCGAGATATTGCCGAGGTTGGCAACCGGCCAGAAGCCGCTCAGATCTCGGCTTCTGGCCGCACGGACAGATATACAAAGTGCCTCTGTAGTGCTGAGGCAGAAAACTCAGCACGCAAGAAAGACCGTTTGGGGGTTAAACAGGGGCATAAATTACTAAATACACAGACCATTTAAAGGGGAAATGGTCTGAAGTAAGGATTGTTAAAGGCACAGTTAGTTTACATATGAGAAAATAAGTAAATAAACAATTACTAATAATATAATAACTCAAAGTAAGACTATTAATACTAGACTATAATTAGAATAGACTCACCTGGGAGGCTAAGCAGCAAAGAAAGAGGAATTGGGAGGAGCCTGATGACTGGACATAATCTATTGTACACTCTGATTGGTTAAATTTTTTCTACTTACTGTTAACTGTTTCTTTGCTGCTGGGAGTAACAGTAAAGAAAGTAAAAGCAAATATGAAGCCTCCTGTCTTGCCATAAAATTAGGATAGAGTAGTGACCACGAGATTTTGCAGCGAGTAGATCATTGGATACTTTGGTCAGTGCCGTTTCCACAGAGTGCTTAGCGCGGAAACTAGTCTGCAGCGGGTCTAGCAGAGATTTGGACTTGAGGAAGTCTGTCAATCTCGCATATACAATCCTTTCAAGGATCTTGGATGTAAAAGGCAGTAGTGAGATAGGACGATAGTTGCATGGGGAGTTAGGGTCAAGACTGGACTTCTTTAGAATTGGTGTTACAGTTGCATATTTGAAGGGCAATGGAAATATACCAGAGGAGAGAGAGATTGAGAATTTTAGTGAGAGGTGGAGAAAGAGAAGAAGACAGAGTACGGATGAGATGCGAGGGAATTGGATCTAGGGAGCAGGTGGTGGGGCGGGAGGACTGGAGCAGAGCAGAAACCTCTTCCAATGTAGCAGGTGCGAATGAACATAGACCAGCAGAGGGAGTGAAGTTAGGGGATGTATTGTAAGGGGAAGAAGAAAGATGAGAGATCTCTTCTCTGATTGTAGAGATCTTGTCAGTGAAGTGAGTTGCAAAGTCTGAGGCGGTCAAGTGATACACATGATACAGTTACCACTCCATTGATCATCAGCTTAGAGTGAGATAAGAGAGGGTGTGTATAGTGAGGAGAGAAAATTCAGAGAGTGTGTGTGTGTGTTGGCCACAGGGCTTTTAACAGGTTAGCCCTTCCTTCTGCATGACACGCCTCCCTCAGTCAATCCCTTAGGATCTAACAGAACTATAGTGACTCCTGGGGGTAGAAAGATTGCACTTGAATGGAATGGAGGAAGAGTTTATCAACAACCTAACTGATGTTGCCTGGTGAAAGGCTATGTGCTTCACAGAGGACTCCAGTATTTCCTAAGGGAAGAATGGGGCTTGAATCCCTGTATTAGATAACAATAACACTTCATTGGCATACAGTTTGGATGTTTATCAGTCCCCCCACTTATTACAGTCTGTGAAGTAACTTTTAAGGCCTTGCTAGTAGCCTAGGTATTTTAAAGGGACACAATAGTCACCAAAACAACTTTAGCTTAATTAAGCAGTTTTGGTGTATAGAACATGCCTGTCCAGCCTCACTGCTCCATTCTCTGCCATTTAGGAGTTAAATCACTTTGTTTATGAACCCTCACACCCTCACACATGCACACGCTAACGGCACCCTCACACATGCACACGCTAACGGCACCCTCTCACATGCGCGCGCGCACACACACACAGCGCCTTCACACACCGCCCACACACACAGCGCAGTGTGTGTGTGTGTGTGTGTGTATATATATATGTGTGTATATGTATGTATATATATATATGTATGTGTGTGTGTATATGCGTGTGTGTTTCTGCTTTAGGGTGCACACCCTTATACAATAGGCTGTGCACGCCTATGCTAAAACTGCTTCATTAAAGGAATACTATAGTAACCTAAACAACTTTAGCTTAATGAAACAGTTTTAGTATATAGATCATGCTTCTCAGGTTTCACTGCTCAATTCACTGCCATTTAGGAGTTAAATCACTTTGTTTCTGTTTATGCAGGGCTTGTCACACCTCCCCTGACTCTGACACAGGCTGCATGAAAAAAGAACTGGTTTCACTTTCAATCAAATGTAATTTTACCTTAAACAATTGTATGTGTATTTCTCTGTAAAGTGAACTTTAATCACATACAGGAGGCTCTTGCAGGGTCTAGCAAGCTATTAACATAGCAGGGGATAAGAAAATCTAAATTAAACAGAACTTGCAATAAAGAAAGGATAAACTTTATTTGACTCTTTACTTGAAGTGTTTAGGAAGGCTGTGCAAATCACATGCAGGGAGGTGTGACTAGGGTTCATAAACCAAGTGATTTAACTCCTAAATGGCAGAGAATTGAGCAGTGAGGCTGAAGGGGCATGATCTATACACCAAAAGTGCTTCATTAAGCAAAAGTTATATAGTCTATAGTGACTATAGAGTCCCTTTAAGCTAAAGTTGTTTAGGTGACTATGGTGTTCTTTAGTAAAGTGCCTAATGGACACATATGTAACATATTACACATACTAGTGGCTGATCATCTATTTAGGTATAAGACTTTGAGGTGCTATAAAATGTAAGAAAATACTCCCATATCTTAAAGGACCACTATAGTGTTAGGAAAATGAACTCGTTTTCCTGGCACTATAGGATAATTAGGTCCCCTCCCTCCTGCTGGGCTAAAGGGGTTAATACCCCTTCAGCCACTTACCTTTCTCCGGCGCTGGGGAACTTTCCACCCCCTGCCGACTTCAGATCAGCAACCGCGGCAAGAGCCGCGTGTGCATTCAAACCACCCATAGGAAAGAATTACTCAATGCTTTTCTATGGACGTCCAGCGTCTTCTCACTGTGATTTTCAGAGTGAGAATCACGGAAGCGCCTCTAGTGGCTGTCATTAAGACCCCACTTCAAGCTGGATTAACCCTCAGTGTAAACATAGCAGTTTCTCTGAAAGCTATGTTTTCAGCTGCAGGGTTAAAACTAGAGGGAACTGGCACCCAGACCACTCCATTGAGCTGAAGTGGTCCTTTAAACTGTGCTGTCAATCAATTTCATTTGTCTATTCTTTATTTTATTTTGTTTGTTACTTTTCCACAATGTTATCCTACCTTTTAGATTGTAAGCGCACAAGCTATCTAGGTAAGCACTTTGTATGCAAGAGCTTCAATGGCTAGATATCAGTTTACGGGCAGGGCACTCTCTACCTTTTGTATTTGTCTGTGTATATTGTACATCCTCCACTAATGGTACAGTGTTGCGGAATCTGTTGGTGCTTTATAAATACCAGGAATAAATAAACTTTAGAAATTTGTTTCAGGAAAGTCCTTTTAGCACCATCAACTAGTTTATTTTTGTTTGATCACTTTGTTCTTCCCTTGCAACACAACACCCTTTTATTAACTAAGAAAAGGGTGCTGATAAAAAAAAAAAAACAGCTATGTGAATGCTTGTAAAAAGCTGAGAACTATGCTTTTAATTGTATTTTGGGAAACTGTAAGTCAGATGAGCTTAGTGTGGCTTTATGGGATTGTAATTTCTACGCAACAAAAGCTTACGATTGCCACTTTGAAGTTTTTTTGGCTCCCCTAATATTGTTTACATATTGTCATTTGTATAATCTTTTTATCTGTCTGTGTAGACCTCAGAAGACCTAGAAATTAGTTGATGGAAAAACCTGACCGCGGTGGACCGTTCACATAAATTGTGACAAAGACACTATAGTGTTAGGATTACAGTGTTCTTTTAATAACCAGTATAAAATATACTGCAACACATCAGTAGTATTTTTTTTTTTTAATGTAAAAACACCACAGAGTATTGTATTGGTTATGGTGCCAGAAGTGTTCCTATAATATTGCTGACCTTGTTCATAGATTTGTGTTTACAATATAAACATAAAACTATGCAAAAGGCTACGTGAATAACAAAACCACAATAAATCAAGGTAGTGCCATCCTTAAAGGACCACTATAGGCACCCAGACCACTTCAGCTTAATGAAGTGGTCTGGGTGCCAGGTCCAGCTAGGGTTAACCCTTTTTTTTTTTTTTTTAAATAAACATAGCAGTTTCAGAGAAACTGCTATGTTTATGTTAAGGTTAATCTAGCCTCCAGTGACGTCTTCACAGTGAGATGCCAGCGTCCATAGGAAAGCATTGTGAATGCTTTCCTATGGACTGGCTACGCGCGCAGCTCCTTCCGCACATGCACATTCAGCCAAAGAGGGAGGAGAGCTTCCCGCCCGGCTCTGGAAAAAGAGGTAAGTTTAACCCCTTCCTCTCCATCCAGCCCGGCGGGTGGGGGCACCCTCAGGTCACTATAGTGCCTGGAAAACGAGTATGTTTTCCTGGCACTATAGTGGTCCTTTAACCCCTTAAGGACTGGACTGTTTTTTGCGATGTTGTACATTTGCCACCAGGCATACTTTTACACTTTTGTGGTGTTTGTGTTTGGCTGTAATTTTCCGCTCTTTCATTTACTGTTCCCATACAAATTATATATTGTTTTTTTCAGGACAAAAGGGGCTTTCTTTACATACCATTATTTATATAATCTCATGTATTTTAATTTAAAAAAATATGATGAAAAATTGAAAAAAATACATGTTTTTTGACTTTTACTTAAAAAAATCTTTTACTCTTCTACAAAAGCGAATGGGAAAAAAACTTCTAAATAGATTAAAAATTTTGTCCTGAGTTTAAAAATACCCAGTGTTTACGTGCTTTTTTTTGCATGTTATAGGGCTATAGGTACAAGTAGGATATTGCGGTTTCAAAACATACATTTTTAAAATGTATCAATAGTGACATTGTAACACTTATCTGTCATAAATCTCTGAATAACACCCCACATGTACATATTTTTTTTTTTTTTTAAATAGACAACCCAGGGTATTCAACATGGGGTATGTCCAGTCTTTTTTAGTAGCCACTTAGTCGAAAACACTGGCCAAAGTAAGCATTCATATTTGTTTGTGTGTGAAAAAAGTAAAAAAACTAAATTGAACGCTAATTTTGGCCAATGTTTGTGACTAAGTGGTTACTAAAAAAGACTGGACATACCCCATTTGCAATACCTTGGGTTGTTTTCTTTTGCAAATGGTATGCCATCATGGGGGTAGTTCTCATTCCTGGGCCACCATACGCTCTCAAAGGCAACGTAACCAACCTGGCCATTTTTTATGTAAAATTAGTTGACCCTGTAACTTTCAAAAATACTATAAACCCTGTACATGGGGGGGTACTGTTTTACTCGGGAGACATCGCTGAACACAAATATTAGTGTTTAAAAACTGGAAAACGTATCACAACAATTATATCATCAGTAAAAGTGCTGTTTGTGTGTGAAAAATGCAAAAAAAGTAACTTTCACTGACAATATCATCGCTGTCATATGTTTTACTGTTTTGAATCACTAATATTTGTGTTCAGCGAAGTCTCCCGAGTAAAACAGTACCCCCCATGTACAGGTTATAGGGTGTCATAGAAAGTTACAGGGTAAAATATAGTGCTAGCAAATTAAATTCTCTGGACTTTCGGCCTGGGTTGGCAGGCAGGTCCCTCAAATTGCAATCAATAAAATTACTTAATTATGTAAACATATTACATATATACGCACGTAGAATTTAAATATATATGCATATTTATATATTTGAAATCTACGTGTATATTTATATAATTATGTAATTTTGTATATGGACATATGTATATTTCATATTATTTTTATTTATTTATATATACATAGATATATTTACAAATTCATTCTAAGTGTATTTTGATATTTCATATAAATATATAATTTTTTTCAATTTTTATTATTTTAAAATTAATTTAATTTAAATTACTTATTTATATTTTATTATATATATATATATATACAATATATAGATATTATATATATTTTATATATACGTGTGTAATTTAATTGTGTATTTTTATATTAATATAAGTACATATTAATCTAAAAATACACTTAGTATGACTATATATATATATATATATATATATGTTATATAGATATAATATATATCTATATATCATATTTATATACACATATATTTTTTTTTCTATTTTTTATAAACACTAACTTTATTTTTTTTTATTTTTTATTTTTTTTTATTTATTTATTTTTTATTTTACACATGCAGGGGGACTGCCTGTAAGCACAGGCAGTCCCCCTGCAGGCAGACACATGGACACCTATTGTGACCATGTGATTGCTCTGTTGAGCGATCACATGGCCACAGGGGTCCTAATTCAGTGTGGGGAGACTGTCTGGGCTGCAGGCAGTCTCCCCACAACTGGAGCACCGCTGATCGCCGCCGGGGGAACGACGGCGACCAGGTAAGTAACTCAGACCGTTAGGACGGTTCAGGACCATCATCGGTCCTTAAGGGGTTAAGTGCAGAGTCATGTTGGTGTAGGACGAGGAGGGAGCACGGAGCAGGCTCTGTTAAATCAGTGTCTCCCTGCAAAACATTTAATGAGTATTGGGGCTTTTAACAGACCCTATTACAGAAACTCTAACTTATATGTATATTGTTACTTTTTGTTCAAAGTAGTAATGAAGGTGCAGTATCTGCAGTAATAACTGCTTTGTAATGGAAAATATCACTATTCTGATAATGTCGCCATATTCCCAGTCTCTGGGCCCTTGGTTTCCAAATGAGATGCAAAAGTTGCTCTCATCAGAAAAGAGGACTTTGGACCACTGAGCAACAGATCAGGTCTGTTTTTCTTTAGCCCAGGTAAGACGCTTCTGACGTTGTTTGTTGTTCAGGAGCGGCTTGACAAGAGGAATACAACATCTGAAGCCCATGTCCAGGATCTGTCTGTGTGTGGTGACTCTTGATGCACTGACTCCAGCCTCAGTCCACTCCTTGTGAAAGTCCCCAACACTTTTAAATGGACTTTTCCTGACAATCCTCTCCAGGCTGCGGTCATCGCTGCTGCTTGTGCACCTTTTTCTTCCACTTTTCCGTTCCACATAACTTTCTATTAATGCGCTTTGATACAGCACTTTGGGAACATCCAACTTCTTCGCAATTACCTTTTGAGGCCTTCCCTCCTTATGGAGGGTGTCAATGATGGTTTCCTGTACAACTGTCAGGTCAGCAGTCTTCCCCATGATTGTGATTCCTACTGAACCAGACTGAGAGACCATTTAAAGGCTCAGAAAAACCCTTTGCAGGTGTTATGGCTTACTTAGCTGATTAGAGTGGGACACTGTGAGCCTAGAATATTGCACCTTTTCACAATATTCTAATTTACTGAGATTGTGGATTTGGGGTTTTCATGAGCTGTAAGCCATAATCATCGCACTTATGACAAATCACAGCTTGAACTATCTTGCTTTGCATGTAATCATCTATCTCATATATTAGTTTCCCCTTTTACGTTGCATTACTGAAATAAATTAACGTTTGCACGATATTCTAATTTTTCGAGTATCACGTGTATGTATGTGTGTGTATGTATGTATGTATATATGTATATATCAAAAAAATAACGTACAAAATAACATACAAAATAAAGCAAGAAAGATATATATATATATATATATATATATATATATATATATATATATATATATAATGTGTGTGTCTTTCTTGCTTTATTTTGTATGTTTAAAAGTGTTGGTTTGGCAAGTGACCGGGGACGACGACTTTGTTATGAAGGTGTTAATTATAATGGATAATGCAGGATTTCCTATATTATCTGCTATGGATGGAGTTCACTTTGGATCCAGTAAAGTGATTTTGTTTTTTTACAATGCACATGACTTCCTGTTGAATGTTAACTACTTTTCTAGACACACTTCACACAGTGCACTTTAAGAGATGGGTTGTGTTCTGGAATTCAGCTGATAACAGCGCTACAACAAATATAATTTCATTCAGGACAGAAAACATGCTGTGTAATTGATTTATTATCCTGCAGATGATTGTCTACAAAATGGCAACTGCCTGGGGGTTCTGTCCCAGATCTCTATGGGAGGGAGACAGTTTAAAAAAATAAAATAAATAAATAAATAAAAAAAGGCTGCTGGGTTGTCATGTACTGCTTTTGATGACTTGTGTTGTCATGTAAAAAAGCGGTTAGTCTTTTTTTTTTAATGTTTTTTTCTTAACATTTTGTTTAAATCATTCTACTAATCTACTGTGCTGTAGAATAGGAGGAAAAAACTTGCAAGTAGATGTGGGCATACAGGAAGATATGATGAGGGGCCTTTCTCAAGTCTATCTACCCTTTTAACTATGACCTGCATTATTGTTTAGAAAGTGCATTACATCAGGGCTTGACAAATTTGTTTGGAATCTAGGAGCCAGCTAAAGTTTTAATTTTTTAATTTTTTTTTTTTTATATATATTTAAAGGGACACTAAAGTCACCAGAACCACTACAGCTTAATGTAGTTGTTCTGATGCCCATAGCCTGTCCCTGTAGCCTTTTCAATGTAAACGCTGCATTTTCAGAGAAAAGGCAGTGTTTACATTGCTGCCTTCTAAGACCTCTAGTGGTTGTCACTCAGATGGGCACTAGAGTCCTGTGTCAGTGCTCTGCTTGGAAGCGCTGAATGTTACCCATAAAGAACATGCGCAATATCCTCCCAATGCTTTCCTATGGGAAAGCATTGGCTTAGCTGAGATCATAAAGATTGATGAACTCTGCATTGGAGGCGGGACAAGCCACGGCAAAACCTGAACGGCGTGGGATAAAAGGTGAGTAAAAACACCAATCATGTGATCGGAGGGGGGCAGGTACCTAAACAGACACACACTCTGACAGACACATGCACACACTGACAGAGACATATACACACACATACACACACACATCGAAGATATAATTCTAAGAAAAGATCAACTGAAAATGGGTGAGAAGTATTGTTTTATAATGTGGTGGTGTAATGACGTCATTTGACGCATGTGTATAATGACGTCACTGACACCCGGAAGTATCCTCCGGCAACATACAGAAAATCCTAGACCTCATTACAACAACGGAAAGAACCTCCCCATATCCAGCTGATCACACTAAGGTTTATTTGTTTGAGTTTACAGGATATACAAGTGGGATCATGGATCAGTCAGTGAGTGGTCCCCCAGAGAAAGGCTTAAAGGGACACTATAGTCACCTGAACAACTTCAGCTTAATGAGGTTGTTCAGGTGAGAACTATAGCTCCCTGCAGCCTTTCTCATGTAAACACTGTATTTTCTGAGGAAAAACTAGGAACACCTCCAGTTGCAGTCACTCAGACTGCCACCAGAGGGACTTCTGAGTTGATGGAGGCATAATATGCCTCCATCCACTCAGATCTGCTGTGCACGAGCATCCTGTGATTCAGTATCTCCTCCCATTGCATGCAGACACTGAACTTTCCTCATATAGATTCATTGATTCAATTCATCTCTGTGAGGAGATGCTGATTGGCCAGGGCTGTGTTTAAATCATGCTGGCTCTGCCTCTGATCTGCCTCCTTGTCAGTCTCAGCCAATCCCATGGGGAAGCATTGTGATTAGATCAGGCTACCACATGTCAACAGACTGCTTGTTTTTCCTGAGTCTAACAGCATGCAGATTTACAGCTTCTGGCTTGAATACAGTAAGATTTTTACTATATATTTATGGAGGCATGAGGGGCCCAAGGGGGCTAGATGGTCGTGTTAACACTATAGGGTAAGGAATACATGTAGTTGCACTGGTGACTATAGTGTCCCTTTAAGGGCCGAAATGTCAGGGTTTGCATTTCTCCTGCTCTTGGTCAGTATACTTTTTTTTGTGGGTGTATGTAATTAGCACTTTATTAGCACTTTCTGTCAGTTACTTGATGTATTTCTTCAATGCATGAATAAATTTGTGTTTTGTTTTTTTTTCTCCAACGCTCACAAATTTTAATTTTCTTATTTTAATCTAACCAGCCTCCCTACCTTTGGGAGAGCTGAGTGGACTTTCCCTGGGGTCCAGTGGGGCTGCTCTCTCTTGCGCTGTGTGAGGGAACAGTAATATACCATGCAGCTTCTCTCTGCTCCCTGTGATGCCCAGGCCGGAATGACTCCATATTCCCGGCATCATTAAAGGACCACTATAGGCACCCAGACCACTTCAGCTCAATGAAGTGGTCTGGATGCCAGGTCCATCTAGTGTTAACCCTGCAGCTGTAAACATAGCAGTTTCGTAGAGATAGTAGTTACATTTTAGTCTATTTTTGTTTTGATATAAAGTTGGTTGTGAAGTCCATAGGCCTGTCCCATTTGAGTTTCAAAGTGAAACGGAAGCTTTCAACCTCTAGCAGTGTGATTCAATAGGCCTATTCTGTGCTTTCTCTCCTACAGATCTGGGGCTTGGTCTGTATTGGATAACAGATGACAGTGCGTCTTTTGTCTGACTTTGGCTATGATCCTGTTTCATATAATAAACAAATTCAAGTGCGCTGGGTCATAAACTAACTTTTCTTTAAGCTGTCAGGTTATAATTTTAAAAAGCTATATTGCTGACTTTAAGGTACAGTTTAAAGAAAAAGAAAAAAAACATTTATTGAGAGGAAGAGTTTAGCATTTAAAATATTACTTAAGCGGCACTGTCACTGTCTAGGAATTTTTCTAAACTCTCAAATACCCTTGTGACATTGGTGCTGAGGATACGGGGGGTGGGCGGTGTAAAGTTGTGTTCAACTTACCTAAACCTGTCCCTCGCGGGCATGACTATCTTCTTCCAGTGGGTCTTATTCAGCATGCGCAAGAGTACAGCATGGAGATTTATGGAGGGATTCGAAGGACTCTCCATGGAGAGACAATTCCCTGTAGCTTCAGACAGAAACAATAAACCCTGCAACAATTTCCACATGGATGCTCCGGCCTTTCACCAGGGAGGTGCTCCGTGCAACTGATGGACACCGCTGAATCCACCAATGTACTGTGTACAAAAGTTGAAATACACAGGCATTAGCAGTTTGCGTGATTAAGGCTCTGCTGAGCCAAAACGTCGCACTCCTTTTCTTGAGAGGTGGTGAACCCACGAATAAACTTACCTTCATTATCCTGTTGCCTGTATATTTCAATTTTTGTGAATTCCCTTGAGCTGTCACTGATTAGAGATTAACACTTCTAGACTGCTGTAGCTCCACTGAGTGTCTAGAAGTGTCAGGCAGAGGATATATACGGAGAAAAAAAAGTCCCTAATTCAGTGAAATTCCAACACCGTCAAAATTAATATTTAATTAAAAATATCTTAATGGAGGGTGTATGTGTATTTTTTTGTTTTAAATTTTTGTAAAAAATTTTTTACAACGGCAGGTAGCCTAAATCTAAACCTATTTAGGAGGACATCTAACATTACAAGTAATATCTTTACTTTTAAAGTTGGTGTTTGTAACGGAACTCCCCGTACTCCGACCGAGTACCTTCCGTTGATGGACGCTTCCTAGCTTGTGCTGAGGACCACAAGCACTGCACCGGACACCACAGCCACCGCAGATTCCTCAACCGCCGTAGCTTAACTGGAGTCTCGCCGTCTTCCTTCCACCCTTGATCAGCTTCTGTCCTCCAGGACCGTGTGGAAAAGACCTCTCCCCCAGGAGAGCGTATCAGGAACATGCTCTTAAAAGAGCTAAGTGATTAAAGCTCAAGGGAGTATGCAGAACATAGCAATCCCCAGTGTGAATATAGCTGTCCCCTCCAATCACGAGACAAGACTACGTGTTGAGGGTCAAGAAGATCTTTTAGTTGGCACCAAAGGGCCTTCTTTTATGCAGGTTTTACAGATACAGTACCACCCACAGGGTTTTGTAAAATAACCAATAAAGCACGTAGCATACAGTAAAACCACACCCAATTACTCAACACAATAGACTAAACTTAATTATCACAGGCAGAAAATATACAGTTTTTACACATACACTGTAACTTTAAAGCATACTTGAAATATAAACATACCCAAAAATAATGCAAATCCTTCCATTAGTTCAAAAGTTAGTCGGAAGTCCTTTGTGACCGACCGCAGGCACATTTTCCTGCCCAAAACCGTTCCATAGATTTGGGCTGTGCGGTCGGTCAATTTCACACTTAAAAAATGATTAAGTCCCATTCGAACATGTGTTCGAATCTTCGAACGGGACTTAGTCTCTGTGACTGAAAACTCAGTGCAGGAGAAGGTAAGGGTCAGCAGTGTTCATTGAAATATGTAGCCGATTTCAGTTACATGGATTTAGCTACACATACCGCTGACCTCGTTCGAATGAACAAAGATGGCTGCCTCCACGTGTTCGTTTGTCGAATGGCAGCTACTTCGGCTGCATCCGAAGTGCCAATTTAAAGCTGCAGAACTGCTCCAATATAATTTAAAGGGGCAGCAAGAGTCTTTTAAAATCCAATCTGCTAAAATAGTCTTTAACAGGCAATATCTTCCAGGGGCCATAGTCTTAAAGGCGCGTTGTTCAACAAAGTCACAATATGCCCACAGACTGTTCTTAAAAGTCCATACACAGGCCAATAAAAGTCCATAATCCAACATGTTGGTTTAAAAGGGTACAATCTCCCAGGGCCATAGTCTCAGGGCAGGAGGCTGGCAAGCAGGCCTCTCCAGGACCAAGTGGCGAAGGGCGCTTCTCACAGTGTTTCTTTAATCTCTTCTGACCTTTAACTATTTCCAGGCATACGCTACATGACATTATTTCACTTTATGTGTGCATGGTAAACTGACAAGTGTTAGTGACACTTCCTGTCTGTTCTTGGGATCTAATCTCATTCCAGCATTACATGCACCCCCACTCAAAACAAAGTGAACAAACTATCCAATTTAACATTACCCTGTGATATGTATGTTTAAGGAAAGCAGAGTAGAGCAGCTGGACTAACAGTATGCCTAAACGCAAAAAAATGTCCTGTATCTGATACAAAAATAATTATATGTGGAATTCAATAGTAATGTTTTAGAGACATTGCTAATAATATGACCCGTGTACATCAAACTCAGTATAGAATATGTACTGTATAGTTTTACTGTTAAAATAAGTACACAAGACCGGTTTACATCCGTTTTAAGGTTTTGTTTATTCATAGCACCATTCCGTATCACTGGCTAGTTTACAATTAATCTTGGTACCTTTAGATAATGGGGAGGGTTTTTACAGTGCAATACTAGTGACACACTAATAAATTAAGTTTTTGCTCTTTTGGCTATAGACAGGTGCCCCTCTGTGGAATAATCTCATTTTCTAAACATTGCCAGTACCTCACCAACCTCCACGTGCTAGCTAACTGAAGAGTCTACTACCCACTATGAATTATTTAATGATCGGAGTTCTAGTTCTTGCAGCACATGATGGTTAGTAAGTATTATGTAAACACAAATGTATGCATATAAATAGAAGCGGAGAGCTGTGTGTTTTTTTTTTGTTTTTGTTTTTTTGTAATGCAACAAATGTTGAGTTGATAGATTAAAGGAACACTTTAGCACTAGGAATAGAAACATATAGAGTTCCTTTATCTATTTAGGTGTCTCCCCCCCCTTCATCTTGTCAGGATAGGTAGTTTTACTTACCTTTACTGCCTTGCTATGCAGGTCTCACTATGGCCAGTCCACCTCCCTGGCTGAGATCATAAAGACTCATGATCTCAGCCAATCCAATGCTTCCGAATAGGGGTCTGGGTGCATCTCATAGAGATGTATGGAATCAGTGCAGCTCTATGGGAAACGTTCAGTGTCTGCATGCACAGGGTGGAGACTCTGAATGGCCAGTGAAGTTATCACTAGGCTGTAATGTAAACACTGCATTTTCTCTGAAAAGACAGTGTTTTCTGCAAAATAAAAATAAAAAAGCCTGAAGGGTATGATGCTACTCACCATAACAAATGCAATAAGCTGTAGTTGTTCTGGTGACTGTAGTGTCCCTTTAACCCCTTAAGGACACATGACATGTGTGACATGTCATAATACCCTTTTATTCCAGAAGTTTGGTCCTTCATGGGTAAGTACAATCAACTTAGGCAGACTTGCAAAAATGAGTTAAACATGTCACTCGTGTCAGAGTATCATTGGAGCTCCACTGTGGCCATTCAGGACTCCGTTATGATGTCATAGTGTAGTTGCATTAAAGGAACACTTTTTTTTGGGGGGGGAGGGGTGCATGGGGATGAGAGTGTATTCATTTTGAGCTTATTAATTTAAGTGATATAACCATTGATGGTTTTCTTCTCAGTAAGTCCCACCAGATATCTCAAAAATGTACATTTCGTAAGACTGCCAAACTTATAGTGATAGATTCTGCAAATTTCTGTGAGAAAAGTGGTAGGAAAATCCATAAAGCTGTTTAAAAAAAAAAAAAAAAAATGAAACGGCGCAAGAAAAAAAGATGTAAAAATACTCAAGTGATTACATTTTAACAACTATTTAATAAATATTATAAAGAAAAGTATCAGCAACACTTTGACTCCCCCACCACCACCAATGTGTTTTAGGCTGTTGTATAGGGTCTGTCCCAACTATTGGGAAAACACTTAAAATAGCTTAAAGCTCCAGCTTTGAGTTCCAAGCCCAGGGAATGCACTGTACTAAACAGTCAACTGTCCCTTTTAATTCCAAGTGTTTGAATGTTCGCATGTGGACTTGGAACCTTTTTTGTGTGTTTATTTGTATTCCCAGCTCGTGCTGCATTTCCCTGCTCTATTTCAGTAAAGATTTCGGAGGCCATCTGGGCTGTTTTTTATAGTGTGCTTTTTTTTTGTTTTTTCCTCTACCCAATTAGATCTCATTTCTGTACTTGCAGTAGCATACTGGCTGGACGAAGAGCATGTCATTTGGTATTTGCTTAGCTTTTCTTGCTAAGAGGCTTTCAAAAAGAAAAGAGGCATTGTGTGCCCATAGCTGAGGTATTCCTTAGCAACGACTACATTCTTTCTCGAAAACACAAGCCGTATTTTAGAGTTCAGTGACAGTAAATTACTCAACCAGGACCACAGTATGTCGTGTCCAAAAGGAATGTAATTATTGTGTTATAACTTTCAGTTGGAAAAACTGAGACCTACTATTTTTTACATAGCATAGTTTCTTAGCATTTAAAGGGACACTATAGACACCCAGACCGCTTCACTTAGAGAGCCACTAGTTGAGCTTCCTATGAAATAGAAGAATAAAATCTGCTATTTCAATCAGATGGTCTCATAGATACAATCTGATTACTGTGGATGTGCCCAAGCCTCTCAGTGCTTTCCTATGGGAAAGCATTCCATTGGCCGAGATCATCGGAGAAAAAGGGATTAATACTGCTTGTAAGCCAATTAACAGGGTGATATAGCGTGCGGAATGCTCATTTGTATTCCTACAGTATATTGTTTCTATTATTGAGGAGAATGTGTATTCCACTATTAAGGGCTTCATGTTATTACAAGAGATAAACTTAAAGGAACACTTTAGTTTTACGAATACAAAAAATTATTCCTAAAATGAACTTGTTCCTCTGCCTCCGTGGCCCCCTCCCAGAGTTGTAAACGATTAAAGTACTCTTTTATTCACTTACCTGATTCCAGCGACGAGATCTGCCTCCCCTGATGTCATCCGTTTGGGGGACCAAATACATTTACGCAGCAATGCCACACACGCACTAGGCCATACCCATTGGAAAGCAATGCCTCAATGCTTTCCTTTGTGGGTTTTCTCTAATCCCGGAGTTGCCTCTTGGAGAGAGTGAGGACATCCAGCATTGGTAGGAAGCATATCTAGTAGGACAAATTCATTACATTGTAGGACTAAAGGAGACTGGGACACTGCACCCAGACCACTTCAATGAGATGAAGTGGTCTGGGTGCTTATAGTTTCTCTTTAAAGATGCACTGTAGTAACCAAAACAACTTTAGCTTAATGAAGCAATTTTTGTGTATAGATAATCTCACTGAAGTCTCGCATCTCAATTCTCTGCCATTTAGGAGTTAAATCACTTTTGTTCCTGTTCATGCAGCTCTAGCCACACCTCCACTGTATGTAAAGGTAATTTTTTTTCAATCAGATGCTAACTTGCTTTAGAAGTTTCTATCTCCTGCTCTGTGAATTGTACTTTAATCACACACAAACTGTTAACTCTGCAGGAAATTAGAAATTCTAAATTAAACAGATTGTGCAATATAAAAAGTACAAGTTCTCACTTTACATGAAGTGTTTAGGAAGTCTGTGGATGTTACATGAGTAATTAGGGCTGTATAAACAAAGTGATTTAATTTCTAAATGGCAGTGAGACTGTAGGAGCATGATCTATACACTAAAACTGCTTCATTAAAGGACCACTATAGGCACCCAGACCACTTCAGCTTAATGAGGTGGTCTGGGTGCCAGGTCCATCTAGAGTTAAACCCCCCCCCCCTTTTTTTATTTTTTTTATAAACATAGCAGTTAGGGTTAATCCAGCCTCTAGTGGCTGTCTCATTGACAGCCGCTAGAGGGCTTCCGCGCTTCTCACTGTGATTTTCCCAGTGAGAAGACGCCAGCGTCCATAGGAAAGCATTGTGAATGCTTTCCTATGGACTGGCTGAATGCGCGCGCAGTTCCTGCCGCGCATGCGCATTCAGCCGGAGAGGAGGAGGAGAGCTCCCCGCCCGGCACTGGAGAAAGAGGTAAGTTTAACCCCTTCCTGCCCGGCAGGAGCGGGTCAGGGCACTATAGTGCCAGGAAAACGAGTGTTTTCCTGGCACTATAGTGGTCCTTTAAGCTAAAGTTGTTTTGGTGACTATAGTGTCCCTTTAGTCATTAAAGGGATACTGTAGTGCCAGGAATATAAAGCTGTATTCCTGGCACTACCGATCCCTCTGCCTCCCCCTCCCTCGTGTCCCCTCCTAACGGTAAATAAAGGGTTAAAAACCCTTTATTTACTTACCTGAACTCAGCGCTATTATTCAATGCTTTCCTATGGGGGGAAAATCTGACGCTGGAGGTCCTCATACAGAGTGTGAGGATGTCCAGTGTCGGATAATTGACCAAAAGTCAGTTACGATTCTGGAAACCCTCTAGTGGCTGTCTGGTAGACACCCACTGAGGGTAGACTTAGAGCTGTAATGTAAATAAACATTGCAGCACTAGGTGCAAAAGGGACATAGCACCCAGACCACTTCAATGAGCTGAAGTGGTCTGGGTGCCTACAGTGTCCCTTAAGGACCAAACTTCTGGAATAAAAGGGAATCATGACATGTCACACATGTCATGTGCCCTTAAGGGGTTAAGCTAAAGTTGTCTTAGTGACCATAGTGTCCCTTTAAAGTGAATCCTTAATAACCTAGAGATTCATTTTATATTCCATGCCATGTAAAATGTTAAAATACAAACATTACTTAACTTTGACGGCAACTTTGTGGTTTTGTCTTTTTCAACTTATTTATTTAAATACATCTGTGTATTTGCCTTGATTGGGAACTACTCTCTAAGCAGATGAAGCATTCCTCTGACATTCCACTTCTGCAGGCGACCACTTTACTAGAACTACAACAGGTATTTCTGCAGATTTAGCTTGCTACACTGATAACCATATTGGGACATTCTTATTGGACACTTCTCCTGTGTATTGCTGAGATTTTTGTAATCCCTGGCTTTTATCTCTTATCGGGAGCATTATTTATTTACTCCTTTTTATATTGTAGCCTTTTTGCATACTCCATAGTTAATTTTTATTTATTTATTTTTTCTGTTAGCAGACTTGTGGTGATTTTGATCATTTATATGAAAGAGTAACTGAATAAAAGTGTATTTTATTTGTTACTATATATTTAGTGATGTTCTCCTTTTACATTTAATAATTGTTTTTAAACGTTGATCATCTACTGAGAGGCACCAGCATATTTACTATAAAGATAGATCTAGGCAGATCTTGTTTACTTGGGACACAAAATGATTACTTGTTAACTTCTATACTTTATACGTGGACTGCTGTTTAATACAGGGCTTAGCGCACGAGAGCAAACGGAATTTCCTGTTTAGGAACTTCTGGTGCTCTGATGGTGGTAGTAAAGGCGGGAAGCGGAACTAGGTTGACCCCAAGTAAGAAGTCAAACTGTTAAAAATAAATAATAATAAAAAAATGGTTTGACTACTTACAAACAGGAGAAAACCGTCACTTCTGTGGTTTTAGTACTCGGTGTGTTACTTTAAAGCTTTGCATAGTTAATAGATTAAAAGATATATGCAAAAATATTAGTGAATAAATTAAAGACACTGGTCTATAAAAATTGGTGAAGTTTACAACGTTCTACAGTGTGCTCTGCCCAAACTAGGAAGCAGCAGACGATCCTAGTTTTCCCATGTGTCTGTTTTAACTAATTAACAAAAATCCTCCAGTTGAGCAAAATTAGCTCATTGCGTCGCATTACACAAACTTGTATATATGATGACGATCCTAACATATGAAGCCTATGTTACTTTGGAGAACAGAAATCATTTATCAACCACCCTTTCATTCCAAATGTTAATGCTAGATCATTTTTGTTTTTTTTCTATTACTACCCTTGCATAAAGGTCATTGCTCTAATTTATATCAATAAAATATCAGCAAATGGTCTTTGAGTTGGCGTACTGAATAGGATAAGAGATCTGTTCTAAAGCTAGGGCACTACAAATACTATACCAAGATCACTTGGGCGTTGTGCTTGAAACTGTTGTTCACATTTTTCCTGCCAAGCATGCATATCAAATCACGCCAATAACCTGTTGGAATGCAGTTCTTTGTGTGAAATGATTCATTTTACTGTTGCTTCAAACAGTTTGCTTTATTTTCAAAATGTAAACAATGTCAGGTGCATTGGTGTGTGTTTTAGAGTGGTGACTGATCTTACATTGAATACCTTAGAGTTGCCGATTACCTTCACAATAGCAAATATGGGGGGGAGCCGGGGCAACTGTTCAAAATTATAAACATATACGTGAAGCATATCATTCCAACATAGTGGACCGTAATATCCAGATTGCCCCCTCTTTGTGGCTATAGCAACTTCTTCTGGAAAAAAACTTAACACTCATTTTTGAAAAATCACTGGATATTTACTCCTGGTCAGCTGTAAGAGCATTATTAAAGGAAGACTATAGTCACCAGTGCAACTACATGTATTCCTGCTGATTGGCCAGGGCTGTGTTTGAATCATGCTGGCTCTGCCCCTGATCTGCCTCCTTGTCAGTCTCAGCCAGTCCTATGGGGAAGCATTGTGATTAGACACTTGTTATTGTGAGGAGGAAAAATCTGGAAAAAAGCAGCTCGTAGAAAATTACTTGGAACACTCTACTAGGATAGAAATTGGACAACACTGATATAAAAAGGAGGGATCTGACACTCTAGACACATTGAGCTCCGAACAGTAATCTGACTTTGTATGCATCGCTCCTAGACCTTTAAACTTTCCACTAGCCATTTAGTGAAAATTTGAAAAATGTAGTCCTGGTGAGTATGCTACAGCTTACAGTAGCGACTAGAGAGGAACATTTGAAGGTCTGGCTAGTTGCATAGGGCTTCAGATTTTAAGTCTTGCTAATGTTTTTTATTATTATTATTATTATTATTATTATTTATATAGCGCCACCAGATTCCGCAGCGCTGTACAATGGGTGGACTAACAGACATGTAATTGTAACCAGACAACTGAACGTACAAGAACAGAAGGGTGGAGGGCCCTGCTCCATGAGCTTACATTCTAGAGGGAGTGGGTATAGTGACACAGAGGGTAAAAGTTGGGGTTTGAAGTAGGTTGTTAGAAAAGTATTAATTGAGGGCTTAGTAGGTCATTTTTGACAGTTGCAGGAGAGGAGTCATGGAGGGTGGGGGATGAAAACCTGCTAACCGTTTAATTGATATGCTTTCTTGAAGAAGTGAGTTTTCAACGATTTTTTGAATGAGTGGAGAAGCGAAGGGAGTTCCACAGAAGAGGTGCAGCCCTGGAAAAGTCTGTGGAGATTGTGGCTATGTGCACCATTTGATGCACTGGTGGTGGGTGGTTATGGCTGAAATAACTGAATAAAAATGAGTAGTAGTATTGTCCACATTTTTTTTTTTTTTTTTTACTTTTTAGTATGTTATACATACTATACACTACAAATGTACAAAAAAACATAGTTGTGTGCATCCATAATACTGCAGAAAATGAAGAATTAATGCATATATTTGCTTGAGAATAAAAAACTACCTATGAAATAATTTAGTAAATCATCCAAAGCTATTTGTACTTTGGGTGAAAGCCTAACCTTTGGTAAATAAAAAGATATAGGAGGGTGTGCTCTAAATTGTGAGTAAGGAAGTGGTAACGTGGATAAATTGGAATCGGATATGCCAAACTTCAGATATGTTAGACAGCTCAATAAATTGGTCTAAAACCGTGATTATATAATGTAAGAATTAAGAAAACTAAACAAAAACATTCAGATTAACAGGCTACCCAGTTGGATGATTATTAAATTATTTAACCCCTTGAAGATCATGGTCTGTAAGATTCTGTTATAACAAGCTAGTCTTTAATAAATTCTATGAAATCTACCATACCACTCTTTTAGTGGCCATAAGGTTGTACATAACTATTGGTGTAAAATAAGGTCCTTCTATGCTAGTACATTGTTATTAGGGACCTTGAGGAGTGAAAAATACATATGTGCGGTTTTTTTTTTGTTTTTTTTTAATGCACGTTCTAGGCTGACTTTGACACCAAATACATTTTATTTCTTCTGGGAGAGATATTAAATATTGAGCCGGATAAACAAACAAACCCCAAAAAGTAAAACTTCACTTTTGAAATGCCTACATTTGCAGCAAATCCATAGGATATCAAGATGGGGATCTCCTTGCACCATGAACAATTCAAGGAGCTTAATAAAGATGATGTCCTCCTGTGCTTGTATAGGATTCTTGCTGGACACAAGCAAAAAAACTGTCAGTATGCATAGTAACAGAATCTAGTGAATGTACAAACATACGGCGTGACCACTTCAGTCTTACTGACAGGTTAACCAGTATTTGGAGAACACTTCATCCAACACAGGAAACCATTAAAGGACCACTACAGTGCCCTGAGGGTGCCCCCACCCTCAGGGTCCCCCTCCCGCCGGGCTGGATGGCGAGGAAAGGGTTAAATCTTACCTTTTTTCCAGCGCCAGGCGGGGAGGTCTCCTCTCCGCCACCTCCTTCTCCTCTTCGGCTGAATGCGCATGCGCGGCAGGAGCTGCGTGCGCATTCAGCCAGTCTCATAGGAAAGCATTCATAATGCTTTCCTATGGACGCTGGCGACTTCTCACTGTGATTTTCACAGTAAGAAGCACGCAAGCGCCTCTTGCGGCTGTCAATGAGACAGCCACTAGAGGCTTTAGAGGCTGGATTAACCCATTTATAAACCTAGCAGTTTCTCTGAAACTGCTAGGTTTATAAAAAAAAAATGGGTTGATCCTAGAGGGACCTGGCACCCAGACCATTTCATTAAGCTGAAGTGGTCTGGGTGCCTAGAGTGGTCCTTTAAATGTGTGACATAGGTTTTTTTTTTTGTGTGTTTTTTTATAATGATACAGGCTATATAGTAGGCTGCTATTATTATCACTTGAAGGTTCTTAGTGTAACATTTATTACTGCAATATATAGTTTGATTTTTGACAGGAAATACCATTATTGTTCCAGGAGGGATAAGCCAAATGGCAAATGATTTAGGTAAACTAGAAAAATGGTCAGAATTGTGGCAACTGACATTTAATGTGGATAAGTGCAAGATAATGCATCTTGGATATAAAAACCCAAGGGCAGAGTACAGAATATTTGATAGAGTCCTAACCTCAACATCTGAGGAAAGGGATTTAGGGGTGATTATTTCTGATGACTTAAAGGTAGGCAGACAATGTAATAGAGCAGCAGGAAATGCTAGCAGAATGCTTGGTTGTATAGGGAGAGGTATTAGCAGTAGAAAGAGGGAAGTGCTCATGCCATTGTACAGAACACTGGTGAGACCTCACTTGGAGTATTGTACACAGTACTGGAGACCGTATCTTCAGAAGGATATTGATACCTTAGAGAGGGTTCAGAGAAGGGCTACTAAACTGGTTCATGGATTGCGGGATAAAACTTACCAGGAAAGGTTAAAGGATCTTAACATGTATAGCTTGGAGGAAAGACGAGACAGGGGGGATATGATAGAAACATTTAAATACATAAAGGGAATCAACACAGTAAAGGAGGAGACTATATTTAAAAGAAGAAAAACTACCACAACAAGAGGACATAGTCTTAAATTAGAGGGACAAAGGTTTAAAAATAATATCAGGAAGTATTACTTTACTGAGAGGGTAGTGGATGCATGGAATAGCCTTCCAGCTGAAGTGGTAGAGGTTAACACAGTAAAGGAGTTTAAGCATGCGTGGGATAGGGATAAGGCTATCCTAACTATAAGATAAGGCCAGGGACTAATGAAAGTATTTAGAAAATTGGGCAGACTAGATGGGCCGAATGGTTCTTATCTGCCGTCACATTCTATGTTTCTATGCTTATTCAGTAAGGGCTTAGGAACACTATATTCCCTTGTTTTACAACCTGCATATTTTACGTACTTTTCAAGGTTATGAATGCAAACTGTTATAATGATCCATTACTATGACTCGTCAACAGGCCAAAATAACAACCATTATCACATGTTCGTAGAATGCTTTTTGTTGTCACACCTTGTGTTTTATTCCTCTGTTTTGTAAAATCCGCTAGTATTTTTTGAGGCTGAGCATGTGAAACTGTTACTGGAATCCGTGATGCTTATTTGACAGGAAGTGCATACATTTAATTTGTGTTTCAGAGAAAGTGTGATCTGAACGGGCACATTTTAGGTATGCAGAGAAACGTGTTGAGTTTTACAGTGTTGAAATACATTTAAGGTTACAATATACAGCAAATGGAGAAAGGGGCAGATTTATAATAGCCATGTTTGAGCTATCTAGGGCAGCTGCAATAGACTAATTGCAGTTTCACCAGGCCATTGGCAATTAAATTGTGGTTGATATCAGGCAAATAATGGTAGTCCGTACACCTATACAAATATGCTGTACGTGTTGCATACTTTTCTGATAAGATTGCAAGTAATTGTGACTTGTCTAAGCCTCTGATGTAGGAATATTTGTTGTCGTTGAAATGTTCCTTGGTTGTCTGTATTTTCTCCCAATATAGAGCTAGCTTCCTTTAGCTGGCATATGTGTATCCCTTGTAATTGTACAGCATTTTCTCATATAAGTTAATTGGAAAACAGCTCTTTAATTGCAATGCATGAGCCTATTTTGTATAAAATAATCTAGGTCTTGGAATGTAAAGAGGCAGTTATAAAGCTATCCTAGACATCCATAAAGTGATTGTTTCAGTGACGGTGACATTTTAGGTCCTAAGCATCATTGCACATTGAAATTTTGGCTCCAGTACTCACAGGTCTGCTTACCATAATGTCATTATTTAGGAATGGTTTGACAGATTGCCTGAAGTCAGCGGGGAGCTTGTTGCCGCCTCCTCTTTAGACAGAAGCTCAAACACTGAGAAAAGTTTGACTATGCGGGCCTGCCATCATTGGCTGAGCGTACTCAGGTGATGTTCTCAGTCACTGAGCCAGCTCTATACTGCAGGACTTGGCTCTTGGGAGGCTAGAAAAGTCCCTTGCAAGAGCATACGTCTCAAGAGTAGACTGCGGCGGACACCAGGTAAGTTGTCAAATCATTCTTATTAAATGTTTGTCTACTTTCTCGGGAAGAGCATAATTTTGATTCTAACATCATAACCACTACAGAAGGCTATAGTTATTATGGTTTAAACTAGCTGTGTAATTATCCAGGTTATAGGGGAAAAAAAGGAATGCAAAGTTTACAGCATGGTAAAAGGCAAGGGAGCCTCAAATGTGGGATTTCTATAATTCCTTCACTTTCAAATGTTCAAAGAAAAAAGTTTGATAACAGATCTGAGTGCAATAGCAAAGATACATTTTTATTCAGGTGCTCAATTTAAAATTTCAGCAATCACAGCAGGATATTATTAGTGAATAAAAGGAACCAGCAATGTTAATGCCTAAATGGCATTTAGTATTGAGCTGCATATCTGCCAAACCCTGGTCTGCACTTCTTTTACAGTTAAAGGACCACTCTAGGCACCCAGACCACTTCAGCTTAATGAAGTGGTCTGGGTGCCAGGTCCTTCTAGGGTTAACCCATTTTTTCATAAACATATCGGTTTCAGAGAAACTGCTATGTTTATCAATGGGTTAAGCCTTCCCCCATTCCCTCTAGTGGCTGTCTCATTGACAGCCACTAGAGGCGCTTGCGTGCTTCTCACTGTGATTTTCACAGTGAGAGCACGCCAGCGTCCATAGGAAAGCATTGAGATTGCTTTCCTATGTGACCGGCTGGCTGCGCGCGCAGCTCTTGCCGTGCGTGCGCATTCAGCCGACGGGGCGGATCGGAGGAGGAGAGATGGCAGAGAGCTCTCTTTCCAGAGCTGGGTGGGGGCACCCTCAGGGCACTATAGTGCCAGGAAAACGAGTATGTTTTCCTGGCACTATAGTGGTCCTTTTAAAGAGCTGGCCACGATTGACTAATAGGATCCCCTACTTAATAGACTGGGCAGTCTAATTAGAAATTTGGTTTAATACATTTGTTCATTTTTTGTTTTAGATGTCTGCATTGTTCAGACACACACAAAAATAACATCCAGATTTTATTTAACTGCATTACTATGAACTTTGTCATTTGCAATATCTCTTCTACAGTGTGTGTCTGCCAAATCATACCCATGACTCACTGACATCCGTATAACACCCTTTGACGAACCATGAAAAATGTATCTCTTGTTTTTATTAGAGATGGGGACGTTGCATGTGAACAGTTGGTGGAGAAAAAAAGTTTAACATTTGTAAGATTTTAGAATTGGGTTTTGAAATTAGACACGTCATTATGGTGCGAGGAGGTGCAAGCTTACTTTCTGGGTTAAACCATTAACAAATGGTTTAACCACAAATTCTTCAATCCACCACTTATCAGCTCTTTCTCTTCACTTGTATTCCAGTCCAAAGCTTCACTCACAAAATGGAGTGAAAAAGGAATGTATCTGTAAATGTTTGTAAATGGGGAGCTCACACTCTCAGGCTATCCATTGCTCCCAGTCCATGGCTTCCTGACTGAATCCTTGATCTGGGATGGACTGAAGACTTTGAGGTTGAAGGGAAGCCAGCGCCTGGAACATCTCAAACCATAGCAACTTCTTCCAATTAAATTATTATTGTACCCAGAAATGCTGGTTCAGTGTTCTGCCTGCGCCAGACACTGTAAAACTATTTCTGTTTGGATTGACTGTTATGACAAGACTTTTGAGGAAATAGACAATTTAGCTTTGTTCACTCAACATGTTGCAGCATATATATCTGAGATGTAATCATAAGAGGCATGGGGGTTAACATGTTTTTATATGTGCAATGATTAGTCTTTGTACTAGAGAAGCTGTGCAGCAGTGTATGTGCTAAAAGAACCTTAATATATCATTCCAATTCACATCTGGCAGGTACATGCAAAACAATAAAGGATTTCCGCATTCCACTTGATGTTCCACTGTAAAAATAAACATTTTTGTTCAACTGGACCTAGACTAGAAAAGAGACCATTCTGCTTACTTGATAGCTTGTTTGATCAGAAAACCTGTGTCCAAGAAAATAGTATGTCTCTGTGGTTTTTCTGTCTTGCCTTAACATGTTGCTTATTGAAAGTATGTTAAAGAAACTGATTTAGTTTATGTTCGTTGTTTTCCTTTACATGCTGAGACACATGTTCTAATTATTTCCTATAAATCATATTTGAACAGCTTGAAAAACCACATGCTATACAAACATTTTACAGTGAAGAATTTCATTTACATTGACTGTTGCACCAAGTTAGATGTTGATCACAGTCCAGCTTTATTTGGTCGAGGTTGATATTGCATAGGTATTTTCAACGTGATCACAATCCAAAAATGTACGGAACACTTTTTTTTTTTTTTTCTGTTAACCTTTTCTGTAAGCAGCAGCTTAATCTGAAAATAAGCTTGATAGGCGGGCTACAAACAAAATTCTGCTTTTTGCAGCCTTGAAGTTTGCCAACTTTAGTATTGACACAAACTGGCATCATTAACGTTTTTTTTGTTCTGTGTGTGTTTTTAAGATTGTTCAAAATAAGCATTTAAGAAACATTTGTGTTTTATGTATTTTGCATTGTTACCTTGTCTGCTTTTGCTGGTAATATAAATGTTCCAAACTACCAAACGGCCCCTCGTTCGGTAGATAGAAACAACCGAAAGAGGGGATTCAGGCGAACCCTCCCTAGTCTCTGTAACTGGAGGCTTTCGTGTAGTTCGTTCCCTTACTCCAGGACCGACCGCAGGGCCCCATCGCATGGAACCCCATTCGGCTATTCTTTCCAGCGAGGTCGGTCTTTTTATTCCCTCCATAAATTTCCCAAACCCCTGGTCTGATCTGGGTGATTTTTGGATATGTTGTTCACCCAGATCAGGGCTACCAGGGGATGTATAATTTAAAGCGATACCCCTAGGTTTAGGTGTACATCCAGAAACAGGGGGAATTGGTGTCCTGGATAAGGGGATTATGATGCAGGCTGACGGGAGGAGATGTGTGGGAGGTTACCAGAACAGGATTGGCTACCGTATTAATTACTGTAAATCCCTCCCTGCATGGGAGCATGCTTTATAAGGCCACTGTCTGAATAAATCTGCTTTTGCTGGTAATATAAATGTTGCTTTTACATTACCAGTTAGTGTTACAGCTCTTCTTTGTAGTTCTGTGTGTGTGCAGTGTGAGTCTGCAATCTTCACAATCCAGATGCAGTGTAGTGTGTGAGTCTCTTGAATTATATCGAAGATATCAACCCAGCAGGCCTGGTCATATAGGTTCATACATTTAAAGGATGCTTAAACATTCACCCAGCAGGTTGACTGGCTATATTCTTTCTCTTTATCAAAATATATTTTTTAAGACAATCTGCAATTTCAAAAGGGGAATCTGCATGCTAACATCTTGGAATGTTTTATTGTGTATCAAATCGTTCTGTATCGCAATGCACAGAAATATTGAAATATTGTCAAAACATTGCCACATCCACTTTGAATGCTGGAATAAAAAGTGACCCGCACAAGAAATTGGTGTTGCAGCATTATGTTATTACTGGATGGTGTGGTTAGTTTCCGAAATGCTGTACTGTTAAAGTTGAGGTGCTGTGTGCCGGTCTTCCTAATTGAATCTACTAAAGTAATTTTACGATAGTTTTTGCAGATGTATGTTTTAAAGAGAACCTAGCCTTTGAATGAGAAGCAAAATGTTACTTATTTGACAACCGTCATCACCCACCGTTTTGAAGCTTAATTTTTATATCTCTCATTATTTCAAGGTGTTCACTACATTCTCAAATGAAGATTATGACAGACGTAATGAAGAGGTGGATCCAGTTGCAGCCTCCGCAGAGTATGAACTGGAGAAAAGAGTGGAAAAAATGGATGTTTTCCCTGTGGAGATTGAAAAGGGTAGGTTTTCCTTTCCTTAAATGACACATGCAGATATTTACTCACACGCGCGCGCGCGCACAGTCACGCGCGCTCACACGCGCACACACTCTCGCTATGGGCACACTGCATGCGCGCATGCAGACAGATGTGCGCGCATGCAGACAGATGTGCGCGCAGATGCGTACGCACATAAAAAAATTACTCCGCCCAGCGGTTTCTTACCTTCTGGTGGGAGTTGGGGGGCCTGCTCTCATGGCCCCACCCCCGTCCTCACGGCTCCCTCCTCCCGCACGGCTCGGTCTGTCTGTGTGTGTGTGTGTGAGCTGAGAGGAAGTGAGAGACTGTCACTATCTCCCAGCTCTACCTGTGGATAGTAGGGGCCCGGTCGTGCTGTGAAAGCGCCGCAGCCCACAACCGGACCCCTCATGCACATGTCCCTCGGGTGGCCCTACAGGCATGGATCACCCAATGGACCTTCACATAAGTTCCCAACCCAGGGCGGTGAGGCCACGGGTTTGTAACTCCTATTTTAGATGACGGGCGGCAAAATGCCGCCCGTCATTGTGCTGCCTGGAGCCGTGGTTCCACAGTGGTCCATGGACGGGCTGGCCCTGATTCTCCTTAGTAAGTGCTCATATGTACACTATGTACATTTTAAACTTTTAAACAGTTATCAAAAACAATTACTTGGGGCTACCAACTTTCTTGAATCTGGAAATGATCCATTTGTGTATCAATGAGGATATGAAACGTTTGTGATACTGTATCCTGAACTCTTTCCTGACTTATGAGATCACACTGATTTACAAGAATCATTTTGTTTTGTTTTTTTCCCCCCCACCAAATTTCTGTATTCAGGCGATAGTGGACTTGGTATTAGTATCATTGGAATGGGGGTCGGGGCTGACCAGGGTTTGGAGAAGTTGGGAATCTTTGTGAAAACAATCACTGAAGGTGGAGCAGCTCAGAGAGATGGCCGGTAAGTGGGCAAACAATGCAAGAAACCTCTGTGCTTAGTATTTTTTGTATTTTACTTCTTATATGTGTTCATGGTATTTAGAATATTTTTCCCTTTGACTTTTTGTTTTGATCTGCTTTGTTTTCTCTGTCTATTGTATCTAAGGTAAATATCACTCCATATTTTCTTTGAAGGGGAAGTGGTGTTACTCATCCTTCAGTCTAGACATGATAATTGTGTATCTTTTTTCTTTTATGGTTGAGAGAGCAACATTGAATATTGAAAACTGCTTTGACCTTTGGTGGTTTAAGACATAACCACTGACTAGTTACAATATGAATGTACTCAGAATACTAGCAAACCAGTCTGCCACCAAGTTCGTTCATCATTTGAAGACCTTGTTCTGTATAAGTTGATCTAGTGAGAAGAGAAGATAATTTTTATTAATATGCAGTTGGAATGTCTCCTGTGGAAACACTTCTCCTTTTCTGTAAATTACATTCTCCTTGACCTCTATGGGAAGGTTAGACATTTGCAGAATATGGTTTGTCATGTTATGCCCCCAGTGTAGTTCATCAATAATTAAAATAGATTATTTTATTTTTTTAAAGCACTACAAACACATTCTGTGTGCATTGTATGTAAGGCAAGTGTAGCGGATGGCACTGGGCTGTCCTGAGAATTGCATATGTTTTGACTGCATTCGTATAAATGGCAAAGTTATATGTGTTAAATGTATTGTATTCGTCTGATTGTTCGGTAGTTTCATTCCCTTAGTTTGTTCGAATGAAACTACCGAACAGTCAGACCTCCCCTGTGTGAAGTGTGCCTTCAATTACCCGTTGCAACATTGTTGCGAATGGTTAATTGACAAGCTGAGTAGCAGTCCTTTGTTCTCGGGGGTGGCCGCCATTCGGGAAAGGAACACGTGGCGGCGGACATTTTAAAACTCCCGAACAGCGGTGTTTTGCCATCGAGTGTCTGGAACTCAAATCGGACACTCGACTAGGCGAACACCACTGAGACCTCCACAAGCCCGGTCCGTTCGGTTCCAAACTACCGAATGGCCCTTCGTTCGGTAGATAGAAACAACCCAATGAGGGGATTCAGGCGAACCCTCCCTAGTCTCTGTAAATGGAGGCTTTCGTGTAGTTTGCTCCCTTACTCCAGGACCGATTGCATGGAACCCCATTCGGCTATTCTTTCCAGCGCGGTCGGTCTCCGCTACAGCCAGATTAACTGGTGCATCAAGAAGAAGTATATAGAGTATCAAGAAGTATAGATTAATACATCCTGATGTCAAAGATGATTGTTTTTAATATGACATGATATCAAAGACATTTGTAAATATGATATAAAGGAGCTTTACAGTGCAGAGACATGTATACAGTAAATCTTATCTAAATATAAAACCATTTCTATCTGGCATAGAAGAGCAGGCTGCAAATAATTTCACTGCCTTTCCACTCAATGCTGTGGGAAAAAAACAAATATACAGTAAGTGTAGCACTTTTATTTAAGTACCAAATAAGGAGTTTTTGGGAATATTTCAGATACTTTTCTTCTCATTAGGTATGAGTTGAACTACTGTATAAGCTGATAGCAATAATGCAATTGCTATAATTTTATTCAAAATGTATTTATTATAACATTTATTTATTCTGACCAATGAAGAACCACACGATACGTCTTCTCTTTGTAAATAGTTTTTTCATCATCTAGATCTGAAGTCTGTGTTAATGATTAAACCAATATTTTGCCGTTTAGCACAAACTTACAGTCTGGATTCTTCAGCTGAAAGAGCAGTATGTTTTGAAATTGAAATAAATTCACAGTATATTTCAGATTTTCTTTTTTTCCTCAATCCTAGGTTATTTAATTGTATTCACTCTTAATTTGCAGTATTCAAGTCAATGACCAGATAGTCGAGGTTGATGGTACAAGCTTAGTAGGAGTTACTCAATTTTTTGCTGCCACAGTACTGAAAAACACCAAAGGTACAGTCAGGTGGGTAAACAAAATGTTATATTTTCTATGTGTTCCACATAGTTAAAGGGGGTAATCGTGGCCAAAAAAGGTGTGCTTTGGGTGAGTAGTAACATTTTTAAATCTATATATCTAGCACTCTGTTACTTGGAATTATATTGTGTATAAAGTACTGTCATGTTTGTGTCTGATCATACTATTTTTCTGCTAGTAAAACATATTTTTTTGTTATACAGATTGTGTGCCTCCAAAACTTGCTGCTTGTTTATCTATTGGATTTATATATACAAAATAATTATTACAATTCTATAGTGCATAAACAGGGCAAGTCCTGGAACACTTTTGTTGCTGTTGACAGACTATTCTTATTCCCTGTTTAATTCAGTTACTACATTTCCATTTGAATAAATGTATGGTCTATGTTACTAGGCATCAAGCCCTTTTACGATCACTGTCATTCCCTAAACAATTTAAAACGGACCGTGTCAAATCGAAGCGGAGATAAATTGCGAAAATTCTCCCACATGTATAACATGTACATTTAAAAAATAAAATAAAAATCTAATTGGTATTATCAACTTATCAGAAGGACCTATGCTTCAAACAAACATGAATGTTGGACTGGGGGAGGCTGCACTCACCTGAACATGCATGAATGGGGTGTTGCTGGGGGCCAAAATATACAATACACAAGATCCAGCGCACTCAACTATCCACTAAACAGCAAATTCAATGTTGACAGATTTTTAGTTTTTTTTTAAAGTTTTTTTTAAAAACACCTAATCTAGGCAACAATAATGGGGGTTTAGTTACATTATATGATCATACATTGCATAGGCCTGCCACAACATCAAAGTTACTATCTTTGGCAGGTCCTACTCTGATAGCAGCACTAGGACCTCATTGTACACAGGAAAGGCCTAAAATGCTGTGTATTTCCCTCATACAAATAGTGCTGTGGTCCCAAAGAGCAGTCCAAACTACAGATTTATGTGTGAAAACTGTCTTGCCCAGAGCATCTGCTTTCTCATTGAGCTGCATTGGAAAGCCTGCTATTGGACTGCCACAAAAAATCTGGGTTATAAAGGGAGGGAGGGCTTGCAAAAGCTGTAGACAGGGAATTTTCAGTCTTTGCAAGCTGTTTCCAGATATGAAAAATAATGCATAATTAAATGCATACACCCACCATGTCCTCCTATTCCACCTGAGCTACATGATGAGAGGATAATATATAGAACAGTTGGATTGGGTTACTGCATACCAATACCCGTAGATAAAATAATATACAAAATGTTCATTTGAATGCTTATGTTTGTTACTGTAGATTTCTTATTGGGAGAGAGAGACCAGGTACACAGAGTGAAGTGGCACGCCTTATAAGTGAAACCTTGGAACAGGAGAGATGCCAGCAACAAATGTATAACCAGCAATACTCAGAGGGCAGTACTGGGCAGGTAAACAAGAGTTAATGTTATTTACTTCTGCTGTTTTGCAACTATACTGCACTTTTGGCCACCAGTTCTTAATAAAGGCACTACTGAACTGGAAAAATGCAGAGCTAAACCACAAAAGGAAATAAAGGATATGAAACATTTTAGTTGAACTTTGTTGAAATTGTTTAATTTAAAAAAGGTGTTTTGTGGATATATGTTAACAATGTTCTGATATCCAGCACCACAATAAACCAGTCTCAGAGGGCCAGTTTGTTAGCAGGACTTTATAAAATACCAGAGGAAAATTACATCCTATAACATTGTAAATCAACCGGTAGGATTGAAGTAAATTGGTATTCCAGAAAATGTGTGATAAGTTTCCAAGTGTGACATAGCAGCACCAGCACATAGAAGAGAAGTTTGGGTTAGTCAGGAAGAGAATTTCTTTCAATTAAAATAGATTTAAAAAACAAAAACAAAGGAAAGGAGATTTAACTTACAGAAAGGAAAGAAAGGTTCTTTACAATAGTAACAATAAACATGGAACATGCCATCTCAGATGCCTTAAATGTTTTAGAGCAGCAATTATAAAGACCATGACAGGGTTATTTACTAAAGTGACAATTCAGTTATTTGAAAGAATTTCAAACATAATGCCAAGCTAGCCACTGAAAGCATAACTGACCTAGATCATTTTTCCAGTTTGTCTATTTTTGTCTAATCACCAGAACAACTATAGCTTAATGTAGTTGTTCTGATTTCCATAGTCTGTCCCTGAAGGCTTTTTAATGTAAACACAAATGTGCCGATCCAGTGAGAAAATCAGATTATTTTGGAATCACTGTTTCAGTTTCTTAAACTTGAGCCAGGACTTGATTACGGTACTTAAAGGGACACCGTAGGCACTGTATCTGCTTCATCTCATTAAACTGGTTATAGTGTATGGAGTCCTTTGGTACCATAATTTCTTTCAGCATTAAACAGTTTTTAAACTTTTAATGTTTTAATGCTAAACAAGATTCCCTGGCAATACATCTCCTCTGTGCTGCTTTGGCTAATAAGGAAGTATGAGCGTGAGCAGCAATAGGCAGCTGTGATTGGCTGAGAGTGTCAGCTGACTGCTTTTAGCCTGTCAGAGTTCCAACTGACGGTATGAATGGGTATGACAACAAGGAAGTGTGTAATCTCTGCCTTAGCTACACATACAGAAGGGGCCGGACTGTGGGTGGCCAGGGACACTTATTTTGTGGCATACTGCACAAACATGGTACAACACCGAATGGAGGGATAGTGCCAGGGCACTCCAGGCACTATAACCAATTCAAAGAGACAAAGTGGTTATAGTGACTACAGTGTCCCTTTAAGCCCACCAATGTATTACTCAGAATTTTTTTTATATATTTTTAATAGTTAAAAAAAAAAAAAACTCTTTTCCCTTCCCCTGCACAAATTCATAAAGCCAGCTTTAAATAGTTTGATATATTTGACTACTGCTAGAAGAAATCCTGAAAACAACTTTTCATGACTCCAAGCATATCAATATACAATATTTTTTAAAAATTCACCACTTTTTGAGAGGGCTTCAATACTAATATCAAACTACCTATAATAGAATTGTCTGTACTATTAGTCTTTGTCCATACATACTTAGACATATTTTATGAAGTGATTTTAATATGCCTGTATTTTGAAGTAGAAGTATTTGTGTCTTGGAGAAAGCCCAGTGCTTGATTCATTTTCGGTGGCACCTGCTATTCAGAATACAGCGTTTTCTGAATGACAGCTGACATGGTGACCAAGTACATTGTTAACCTCCTCCTTGTGAATTAAAGGAAAACTGAAAGTGCTATAACCACTACAGCCCACTTTAGTTGTAGAGTAGTTAGAATGCCTGGGCTGCCTCTGTGCAATCTCAGATCTGGGCACCCATCGCTACCTTTTCTGGAGCCAGAAGCTCCTGCGAAGAGCTTTTGTTGTTTCCACTGAGCTAAGCCCTGCTATGCAGAGCTGGCTCATTGGCTGAGAGTGTCCGCTGAGTGCTCTCGGTCAATGAGTGCAGTCCTGCTTTGTCGGGCTTGACTCAGTACAGGAGAGGTTTGTGGCTGCAGGTGCTAGTCAAACTCAAAGTAATTATTTTTTTTTTAAACTGTGCTTATTTTGGGAGGGTACTGCTGCAGTCCTGGCACCATAACCACGACAGTGGGCTGTAATAGTTAGGGTTCTTGGAGTATTGTTTTGAGTTCAAGGTGGGGCAGTTTGTGTTTTCAGTCTATCCATGCATTTCTACTTTGCATACAGGAAGATTTTGATGAAGATGATGACGACGACGATGATGATGATGATGATGATGATGATGAAGATGAAGACAATCTAGGAACTCATTTACTTGGTGGAAATTCCGTTGAAGTTTTTGAGTTGTCTGAGAGTGAGGAAACTAATTTTTCTTTGGATATGGATTCATCACAACTGGCACTTAAATTTAAAGAGGTATGTTAGTGTTATATTATACAGTCCTCTTTGTTACTTTTTTAATCTCCTGACACAGATTACAATTGAAAGTTAATTTTGAGGTGACATTTTAAATTCAAAAGATGTCATTGCTCATTATACATAAATACAAAAAATTAAGCTGTCCACAGAAAATAAATGCCCTGTCAACAGCTTGATTTTCTACCACTAAACTATAGTTCTTAATCTTTATAAATGTGCAATCAAACACATAATATTTTGTGGTGGTTGTTTTCATTAAAAAAGAAAAGTTTTCCTTAATATATTTTTGGAAACTCTACTTGTCTGCGTGTCTGTCTACACTTTTTTCTTTTGTAAGATAATGGTTTGCGAAAAGTGACACACCAATTTCCTCACCATTTGTAAACATGCTTCCATTCAGACTGTAATAAAAGGCAGTTGAAAAGCGTTGTTTCCCATGCCTTTCAAGCATTCTTCATAATGGAGTTGTTAGCTTGTTTTATTACGACAGGTGAATTAAATTATATGTTAGTAATTGTAGTAGGTACAGTCACTATATCCAGTATACTTGTGCTGTGTATATTCCTGTGTATTGTATTTCGTTATCTATTAGAACTAGTCAAGGAAGTCGTGTGTACATATTGTGATTTTGTCATTGTCATCTTTTTATTTGTCTTTAGCTTCAACTCAAACATGCAGTTACTACTGCAGAAGTGAGCAAGCTGAAAGACCGAGTAAGTATGGATTGTTACATTTTCTTACTGTTGGTTGATGTGGTATATATTAGCAATTTAGTAATTACTGTTTCCATGTAGCTAGACATACTAAAGTTGTGAAATGCTTACTTGGTCTTAATTTGATAGTAGTCTATATATTTTTTCCTTGTTTTCTTTAGAAAGTTAAGTAATAGTGTATATTAGAAATAATATATACATCCTGAGGTATACATTTATTTCCTCTGCCTATCTATTCTAGCACTGTGTCTCGGTAGGCAACCTTCGGCACTGCAGATGTTGTGGACTAAATCTCCAACAATGCTATTAATGCTGTCAAAGTTTCAGGGGAAATATATTCACAACACCTGGAGTGCCAAAGGTTGCCTACACCTGCCATAGAAGGTTGGAGTTAATGTTGGACTTTTTTTTTTTTTTTTTTCTCACTCTCCCCAAAAAAGATTAAAGCTACTGAAACTGAAAAAATGGACTGGGAAGCTAACAAGATAAAGTATCAACAGTCTGTTGATGAAAACAAGGAAAAAATTAAAAAGTTGGAAACCTACTGGCTGGAAGCTCAAGGACTTTGCAAAACTGTTAGTGAACACTTGAAAGAAACACAGGAGCAATATGATGCATTGGAGAAAAAATATGCCAAGGCCAAAAAGCTACTGAAGGATTTTCAGCTTAAGTAAGTAGCTTTCTTGTATCTGTACTCCCTGGAACAGTTGGTAGTTATGTTAAGTTGTTATGGTGCCAAGCGAGCCTCTGTGCATCTTTTGTTACGGAGTTGAACGGTTTAATCTCCAAGTTTGATGAATGGCACCCATTTGCTCTACCACCTTGCTTCCAGAAGTGGTCCAAGGGTTCAATGAGGAAGACTGGGTGCCCAATTAGCTGATTCTCTTGTCCAATTAATAGTTTTGCATTTACAAACTATGCATGAGAAAGGTTACATACCCTTAATGAATTAATTGAGATTGTTATGGTCCTGGAATGTTATTTTAACCCCTTCCCAACTTCGGACGTAGATAGGTGTGTGTGTGTGTGTATATATATATATATATATCTATATCTATATCTATATCTATATATCTATATCTCAACAGAGTTGTGGTAGGGGGAAAAGTGTGGATGAAAACCCCTTCCACAAATACACACACCAGTCAAGCCATAAGACTTGCTTTTCCCACAGAAATCTCACCTTAACAGTGCTCTCACTATTGCAAGGGGTTCTGGGTAGGTGTGTGCAAATGAGCTCAACAAAGAACTCTTCCTGAGTTGTGTTTCATAGCTGTTGCATACATCAGACACATCCTCCAAGGAATCCATGTATAAAGTGGAATTATGAGGCCAAAATATGATTCATTGTTGAGCTCATTTGCATATGCCTAACAAGAATCCCTTGCAGTAGGGAGAGCACTGTTAAGGTGAGATTTCTGTGAAAAAAAACAAGTCTTATGGCTTGACTGGTGTGTGTGTTTGTGTTTAGCAATGTATTACCTATCCACTTCAGGTGGAAGGGGTTTTCATCCACACGTTTTTTCCCCACCATAACTCTTGGTATGTACTTTACAAGTAACGCCAAGCCTCCTTTGCAAGCCAGTAACCAACCTCATGCTGATGAGTTGCATTAACAAACAGATATCCATGAGTGGTTCACTGGCTTTGCTTCTCTTCCTGAGTTGTGTTTCAAACTGTTGTATACAGCAGACACATGCTCCAAGGAATCCATGTATCAAGTGGAATTATGAGGCAAAAATGTGGTTCTTTGTCAAGCTCATTTGCATAAGCCTACCCAGAATCCTTTAGTGAGAGCACTGTTAAGGTGAGATTTATGTGGGGAAAGCAAGTCTTATGGCTTGACTGGTGTATTTATTTGGTACGTCAGTGGTTGTTAAGGACAGTTTTTTGTCTGGCATACCCTGTACGTCCGCGGTCACTAAGGGGTTAAATGAAGATCTTCCCCTTGCGCCTTCATCTTTGATATTCTAGGACAGTCTCTCTGTTTGCCATGGCACCTCTGGTTGCTGCGATCCTCCCCAAAAGAGATGACGAGAGATCGAGAGCGACGTCCTTGGCTGTTGTCCTTTTAAAAACTGATTCTTGCATTCCTTAACGAAATGTCCCAGAATCCATTTTCCCTCCCAAAAGTGGTTTATCACTCCCTCTTTTCCCAGAGAGTTCCATCTTTACACAAGTACTTTTCTTTGATCTCTTCCCCCCTGCTATACTATAACGTTCTGTAAGAAGTGAAAATTTAGGGTTGGTTTCTGGGTAGATTGGACAGAATGGCTTGGGAAAACGCAAACTTCATGGGTACACCTAGATGTTAATTACTCTGATCTTCTGATCTCTTAATAACATGCACGGAAAACTGGTTGGAAGGAGAACTGCTGGAGGGATGTAAGCTATTGTTGCTTTAGCTGGGTGGTGTAAAATGCAACTGAAAGCTTTGATCATTATCACACTGTTATCAATTAGATGACCCCCCCAGTCACAGAACGTTTTATACAATATTGCAGTTTTGCATTTCCATTTCTTACAATAGAGACTTGGCTGGATTGCTGTATTTAATTTTTTTTTATTAATATTGGTAAAAGTGTTACATGGATTCTCTCTTTTACACATGTTTGTAATATCTTTTACTTTAGAATTCCTTGGGGATTACTAAAAAAAGTTTTTTGTTAAGGATTCTTTGTTTGACTTGAGCGCACACTGGCTTACAATCACTCACCACATTATATTCTTTTTTTGCTTTCCTTTCAGGGAAATAGAATTTGAAAAAAAAGAAGAGGAGCACAGAGAGCTTCTGAAACAAAAAGACAGGCATCATACGGAACAAATCGGTACTCTGAATTCAAGGGTGAGAAAATAGATATTCTGAAATATGTCTTCAGACTGCCTTTACGTTTACCCTTTTCACTGTCCCTGTAGTATTCAATCTTCCTCCTTGGTCCTTATGGGGGGGCTTGGACACATACTTGGGATCAAAGTGGCTGTGACAGGCGCACCCGCCATAAGGCTTTCTGTACATCATGGAAAGTGTTCCATTATTTTTTATATTCTATTTACTTATTCCCTATATTTATAGGGGTCTGTGACTTATCTTGAAGTATACTATTGAATAGGCTAGAAAACCACCTTTTATCATGTGATATTTTTCATGAGATACTTTTAAATTTTCATTAATGATTTAGCAGATTACATCATAATCCAGCTCTCTCCAGTCACAACCAAGGCAAAGACTGCAAATGAGCAGGAAGAATAAAACCCTTTAAATTTTTAATCTTCTGTCTGTGCTGAGTGCCAGTGTCAGTTTATAAATAGTGATTGATGGTGAGCTAAGATGGAGGCACCCAGTTGCAGAATAAAGAGGTGTGAATTTCTATATTTTGTTTTATTTAACACTTTTGTAAAGTATAGGGGATAAGTAACATAATTTTAAGTTTGAAACATTTTATTGTTTTGGTTGCGCATACAAAGGAAATAGGTATTCTGATCAAGAAGGCATTAAAAATAACCTCATATCCCATTGTACAGGGTTACGGAATTTTGCTGGCGCTATATGAATAATAAAATATCATGTTTGTTTAATTTGGGGGCCAAAGGAGTTAATAACTGGCTGCCAGGTTTTGAAAAAGTTTTTTGGTTAGCCATTCCTTATGGTTACACAATTTTTCAACCAATCGATTTGGAAAGTGTGTTGCAATTTGGAATGAAATGGGGCAATTAGTGAAATTTAAATCTGATGGTGTAGGATGGTTTTCCTCGTCACCACTGCTATGACAAGAATTAGGTGGGGTGCTCTTGAAAATTCCCAAAATGACCAAATCGGGTTAGAGTGGAAAGGAGATGTGTAAAAAAAGTTGAGACATTGGGAATAGATTTCCAAAATACCTGAATATGCTCGCAAGACCTAAAGTAGTGAAACAGGTCCGTTTCTATCCAGTCACACGTTAAACAGTTAGAAGAAGGCTTCAACTTCAGTTTGTACTGTTGGTCCAGGTCAAGGTAAGCATGGTATAAAAAAAAAAAAGGTAAAGCTCTCAAATCTCTTGTTTTGTACAGGCAGATAATAAC